GGCTGCGCGGCGATGAATGGGGCCGCCTGTTGTTACGGCGTGAGCCGCTCGTGGTGGCGGTGGGTGAAGGGGGCCTTTGATGCCGGGCATGGGGACGTGATCGGCACGGGGGGGGGGGGGTGGAGGGGCGGGCCGTGGTAGGCGCGGGGGCCGTGGCGGCCGCACCCGCACAGCGTGGGCCTTGTCTCGCTGAGTAATAATAATTAATAGCAGCGGCGTTAATCATAATGGGAGGGGAGGTCTCCCTCCTCCGCCTCCGCCCCCGATTCGGGAATAATCAACCCCAATGTGTGTCTGCCACAAGGTTGGGGCGGCCGCGGTGTGGGGCGGCCGCGGTGTGGTGCGGCCGCGGTGTGGGGCGGTCGCGGTGTGGGGCGGCCGCGGTGTGGGGCGGCCGCGGTGTGGGGCGGCCGCGGTGTGGGGCGGCCGCGGTGTGGGGCGGCCGCGGTGTGGGGCGGCCGCGGTGTGGGGCGGCCTTGTCTCTCTGGCAGTGGCGCCGCCACCACCGCTGCTGCTTGCGAGCCACTGCGTTACGGCCTTCGTGTGCACGCGTGTGTGTGTGTACGTGTCTTTGTGTGTGTGTACGTGTTTGTCTAAGCCATTCCCTGTTCACCTTGGGGTGCGACAGGGATGACCTCTGGCTCCCACATTATTTCACATCTTTTTCGACCACGTAGCTCGTGAAGTCTTTGACGGCTGTACCAGAGGAATTTCCATCTGGTACAGATACAATGGGAGGCTGATCGATGCCCGGGTGTGGTCAAGGGATGGCTCCCTATTGCTCAACCATGTTATGTATGCCGATGATCTGGTGATTGCTGCTCACTCAGAGGAGGAATTGGAGGCGCTGCTGCTGAACCTGGAGCTTGCCACTAAGAGGTGGGGCGTTACCATCAGCCCCACCAAAACTAAGCACCTGCCTGGGTATTTTATACTATCAGGCACTCCACCCCCACAACTTCCAATTGGTGATGGGGCAGTTGTGGAGAGAGTGGAGAGTTTCCCATACCTGGGCAGTGTGCTCATGACCGGCTCCGGTTTGACAGCAGAGGTCTCACTCCGAATCAGTCGAGTGGCATTATCTTTTCATTGGTCGCTTAATGCTGTGTGGAAGCTACCTGGTCTGTCGCTTCAGACGAAGCTTCAAGTCTTCTCGGCCACGGTCATGCCCTCCCTTCTCTACGCTTGCGAAACGTGGACCCTCCTAAAGGAGCATCTTCGCCGATTAGAAACATTTAGGCTGGCCTGCCTACGATCCATCCTGTGTTTAACCAGGCTGGATTGTGTGAGGAGCTCACAAATCCTTGAAAGATCTGGGCAAAGTCCCATCGGTGAGCTCCTCCGGCAGGCAAGGCTGCATTGGCTGGGCCATGTCGCCCGCATGCCCAGTCACCACATGCCTAAACAGCTTTTGTTCGGCCGGATCGAGGGGGTTAAACGGGCGCGGCACGGGCTAGAGAAGAGATGGAGTGATGTGGTACAGGAGGACGTGGAGCTGAGTGGACTTGCCGATGACTGGTACCAGCGGTGTCAAGATCGGCCTCTGTGGAGGAGGCTCGTGAAGGACGCTACTGGGCAGTTGGAGGTAGTCGCCCTCCAACAACAACGGAGGGCGGAGAAGCGACGCTCACAACAACGAGCGGAGCGCCGGGTGGCTGAAGCACAGCGGGTTGGCACAGTAGGGGGCACAGGTGGTACATCAGCCAGTCATCTCAGTCAGTCGACCCGTGGCACCTGGGTCGGCCCCGTGACCTCCTGCCAGCGGGCGTTCGACACTTCACGTAGCCCCAGGGTACACATAGCCTGGCACAAGCGTCGTGGTGACGTCACCGCCACTTAGTGGCGAATGGCGGTTGTTGTGTGGTAATGGGAAGTGGTAGGGCAGCGGTTAGCGCTAAGCTGCGCTACGAACCCGGCCGACCCAGGTTCGATTCCCGCTCACGGCCAACACCACCAAACCGGTCCTGGCCCTCCCCTAGGTGGACTCAGCCTCCAATGAGTACCCGGTGCGGTCTGTAAACTTCTCCACTCGGGAGACAAAGGCGGCCGGGCGTGGTTGCTGACCACAAACCCCCTCGTGTGCCTTGCAGGCCTTCAAAGGTGCTCGCGAACAGCACTTGCCCTAACGGTCTGTTGAAGGCTATCCGGGGGATCTTCGTCTCTGGTGGTTAAAATCCATTGTGCTTTTACCGGTTAAACGTTTAACGGTGAGCCGCGCTGGAGAATTGTCCACGCCAATGGGCGGCCTCACGTGGGGCTCGCAAACCCAGAGGTGTGGAGGAATCTGCCGTGGGGGAATGATGATCGTGTTGGACTCAACTCACTACCCTCACTCACTGCTACACTCACCACCTTCACTCGCTCAGCCCTACACTCACCACCCTCACTCACAACTACACTGACCACCCTCACTCATAACTACACTCACCACCCTCACTCACTGCTACACTCACCACCTTCACTCGCTCACCCCTACACTCACCACCCTCACTCACAACTACACTCACCACCCTCACTCACAACTACACTCACCACCCTCACTCACTGCTACACTCACCACCTTCACTCGCTCACCCCTACACTCACCACCCTCACTCACAACTACACTCACCACCCTCACTCACAACTACACTCACCACCCTCACTCACTGCTACACTCACCACCTTCACTCGCTCACCCCTACACTCACCACCCTCACTCACAACTACACTCACCACTCTCACAACTGCACTCACCACCCTCACTCACTGCTACACTCACCACCCTCACTCACTCACACACCTCTAAACTCACCACCCTCACTCACCGCTACACTCACCACCCTCACACACTCACCCCTACACTCACCACCCTCACTCACAACTACACTCACCACCCTCACAATATCACACGCAAAGATAACCATCCCCTGTATAGCCTTAACAGACTGTCGGGGCAAGTGCTGTTAGCGAGCACCTATGAAGGCCGGAACGGTACACGAGGGGGTGGGTGGCCAGCACCATGCCCAGCCACCTTTGTCTCCCTAGTGGCGATGTTAACACACCGCACCAGGTACTAATTTGAGGCTGAGTCGACCTAGGGGAGGCCCAGGACCGATTCAAATAATCGTCACCGGTTTTGGCCGTGAGCTGGAATTGAACTCGGGTCGCCTGGTTCATAGCGCAGCGTAGCGCTAACCGCTACACTACCGCTCCCCACAAGGACAAAGATCCCCCGTGTAGCCTCAGACTTTTGGGGAAAGTGCTGTTAGCGAGCACCACACACACACACGCGTGCGCGCGCACGCATTCTGGGTGGTGGAATCCTGCCTGGCGTCCCCTAATCCCGAGGCTGAACACCCCCCGTCGGCGTTCCGCGTGCCCAGAGACGGATGCCGTTCCGTAGGTACGGGGGGCACACAGTGGCCGCCCGCCCGCCCGCCCGCCCGCTCGCCCGGCCCGGCCGACGGAGCGCGCCAGACCGCAGCTGGACGGCGCTGGCGATCGACGCCAAACCAATGCGCTCGGCGCACTCCGTATCGGCGACGTTTCGAGCAAATGGCCCTTCGTCACGGCTGCCTGAGAGCCGTTGCCTCAAACGTCCCCCCCCCCCCCCCCCCCCCCAGTGATAGGCGACTTGTTCTCTTTGAGGCCGGAGAGATGTGCCTCTCTGGCGCCTTGCATGCTTATGTGGCTGTAGGGCTGTAGGGGAGTGTGGCTGTCTGTGTGGCTGTCGGGCTGTAGGGGAGCGTGGCTGTCTGTGTGGCTGTAGGGCTGTAGGGGAGTGTGGCTGTCTGTGTTGCTGTAGGGCTGTAGGGTAGTGCGGCTGTCTGTGTGGCTGTAGGGTTGTAGGGGAGTGTGGCTGTCTGTGTGGCTGTAGGGCTGTAGGGGAGTGTGGCTGTCTGTGTGGCTGTAGGGCTGTAGGGGAGTGTGGCTGTAGGGCTGTAGGGTAGTGCGGCTGTCTGTGTGGCTGTAGGGCTGTAGGGCTGTAGGGTAGTGCGGCTGTCTGTGTGACTGTAGGGCTGTGCGCCTGTATGGCTATTCGGCTGTACGTGTGGCTGCAGTGCTATGTGGCTGTAGGGCTGTAGGGCGGTGTGGCTGTCTCTATGGCTATTTGCTTGTCTCTGTGGCTTTGGGGCTGTCTGTGCAGCTGTGTGATTGTAGGGTTAGGTGGGTCTAGGGCTGTGTGGCTGTAGGGCTGTACAGCTGTCTGTGTGGCTGTAGGGCTGTCTGCCTGTACACGCTGTTTGTTTGTTGGCACAAGTGTCACTGTCCCTCAACCAGGTTTCCTTAAATACACATTTTATAAATAAAGCTGGTGGAGAGGGGGGGTGCTGGCCGTATACAAATCCTGCGGCAGATCCGCTTCACCCGGACCCGGATCGTTCTTGGCCATTCATTGGCATGGCCCCGGGCAGTGGAAGCGTCGTGGGGGGCCCCCGCTGTGGGGCCCCAATGCCCGCGACACCCCCCCCCCCTCCCCAATCCTGGCCCCCTGGGTCGGATCGCACACCGAACCACGGCGACCCAGGGTCTGCTCGTACTCCGCTCCAGATTGAGGAGGGCTCTGTGGAGTCCACCCTGGGGTTTTCTGGGCTCGGGTTTCGCGAATGCCGTTGCAGGTGGCTTCGTTGAACGTCTGGAATGCAACATAGCAAGGGCCATTGGTAAATCGCGACTGGCCAGGAACCCATAGACTCGCGCAGAGACTCATAGACTCGTATAGAGACCCATAGACTCGTGCAGAGACTCATAGACTCGTAGAAAGACCCATAGACTCGCGCAGATACCCAAAGATTCGTGGAGAGACCCATTGACTCGTATAGAGACCGGTAGCCTCACACAGACACCCATAGACTTACAGCGGAGACCCGTTGACTCACAACAGAGACCCATAAACTCACACGCAGACCCAGAGACTCTTATAATAACAATGTCTCTGTGTCCGCTGTGTGTCCTTCTGTCCCCTCCACCATATCCCCTGGACCGTGTCCCTGCGTGCCCTCCGTGTGCCCGTGCAGTTGTGTACCGCGTGAACATCAACTTCACGAGCTCGATTGCGTATGACGAGCGCATGGAGAACTACGAGTCGGAGGAGTTCCAGGAGGTGTCCCGGGCCGTCATCGACGCCGTGAGTTCCGCTCACCCTCACGCTCGCTGACCATCGCGCTCACTCACCCTTGCAGCCCCTTCTTCACTCACTTTCATGGTGGGGGGGTGTGCGGCTGTGTGGGGCGGGGGGGGGGGCGCTAGGGAAGAGCGAGGGGGGAGAGCGGCCTGGACTGTGGGGGGGTGTGGGTGGGGAGGGGTGGGGGCCCCTCTGTGCTGCCTTGCGGTTAATTTTGCGGTAAAGGAGACCCTCGAATACCGCGGTGTCGACCTATCGCGGACAACCATTTTGAGTATCAATTTAGCTATCGCGGTGGTTAATTGTGGCCTTTCACGGCTAGACTGTGCCCGAAAGTACTGCATCATTGTCTATTACGGACCGTCTCATCGGCTGGCACCGTGGTGTGCGGCGGGGGAGGCACGGGAGGCAGTCGGTGGCACCTCAACCCCACAGCCGTGCGAGCATCTCGCGGGCAAAGACAAAGATCCCCCGTGTAGCCTGTCAACAGACTGCTGGGGGGCAAGTGCTGCTAGCGAGCAGCACCGACGAAGGCCGGCACGGCACACGAGGGCGGCAGGCGGCCGGCACCGCGCCCGGCCGCCTTTGTCTCCCTAGCGGTGACATTTACACACCGCACCAGGTACTCATTTGAGGCTGAGTCGACGTAGGGAAGGCCCAGGACCGACTCGGATAATCGTCACTTGGTGTTGGCCGTGAGCGGGAATCGAACTCGGGTCGCTGGGTTCATAGCGTGCTAACCGTAGCACCACCGCTCCCCCACTCGCAGACAAAGACAGGCACACAGACGCTTTTGGATCATCATCATCATCGGTAAGCAGTGTTTACTCAGTATGTATGCGACTATTTATTGTCTAGGAATGTTTTTTTTGTATTGCGTTTTAAAGCATTTATTTAAATTAATTAGTTTTTTGGCATACAGTACGGCACTTATTTCACTTGTGATGGTGTCTATTTTTGGTTTTCCGTGTAGCTTACCCCATTAAATTTCGATTTACCCCATTACTTTGGTAAGTGCTTAAGTTTCGATGATCGCGGTTTTGGAACGTAGCCACCCGCGGATATATTCACGGCTTCCCCTGTACAACTTTGCGGTGATTAGTCAGACCCCCCCCCTCCCTCTATTTCCACCATCCGTCCCGTTCTTAATCCCCACTGGCACGGAGACTTCGCGCGGCCCCTTGCGTCGGACTTCGGGTTTGTGTTAACACTGCCGCTTCTGCGTGACCCTTGACCCCCCCCACCCCACCTCTCCTCCTCAGCTGGAGTCCGAGTTCGCGAACGTCGCGGGGGAGCAAATCGTGACGGTCGTGCTCATCCGGTAACGACGCACGCGCACGGCAACATCCGCGCAACCGCACACACGTGCACAAAGACAAAGGTTCTCCCTCCTCCCCCCCGGCGTAGCCCGCGCAGACCGTCGGGGCAAGTGCTGTCAGCGAGTCTGCGCGGCGCCACGAATGGGTTGGTGGTGGCCGGCCGACCACGCACGGCCCAGTCCTGGCGCTGTTGACACACACGCGTGCGTGCGTGCGTGCCTGCATGCGCGCGCGGGCACGTACACACACACGGCATCAGGCACTCAACTAAGGCTGAGCCGACATAGGGGAGGGCCCAGGAGCTGTTCAGATACCTGCCAGCGGCATTGGCGGCAATGGAGCTCCCGTAGCGCGGTGGCGCTAACCGCCGCGCCACCGCTCCCCACAGCACAGGCGCGCTGTTTGTCGTGTGTCGGCGTTGCTCACGCGAGCGGGCCCTCCCCCCCTCTCTGTCCCCCCCCCGCCCCTCCCAGGCTGGTGTTTGGTCACGTGATGGTGGACGTGGACGTGCAGTCGGAGGGCAACGCGGACGAGGCGCAGGTGGCGGCCGTGCTGTGGCGCGCCGTGCGTGCCGGCGACGTCGCCAACTACCGCGTCTCCACGCAGGGCTACAGCTTCCGGCGCATCGGTCATGGTACGGGACACGAGGGTCGCTCGCCACGGCATGCTCACCAACGGCGCCACGCTCACCAACCACGGCAGGCTCACCAACCACGGCACGCCCACCAACCACGGCACGCTCACCAACCACGGCACATTTCACCCTCACCATGGGACACTTACCACGGCGTACTTACCATGGCAGATGAGATGATGATGGAGTCTCCTTGTCGTTGCGTGCGTGATCGTCGCTGCGTGATCGTCACTGTGCGTGATCGTCACTGCGTGTGTGCGGTGCGCGTGTGAAGACGACGAACCGACCCTGCCTCCGTCCGACACCCCGTGGAGTAAGTGCGCGCCGCTGTGCACGCGCGCGTAGCGGCGTGTGCGCTCGTGTGCCGTGGTATGCAGTGGCCCGCTGGCGTGCTCACTGCGTTGCACAACTCGCGTCCCCTCGCCCCCGTGGGTTTGGTGTGCCGTCGCCTTCTCCCTGTCAATGTTCCCGCACGCGCGTGGTCTCTGCCCTCTCCGTCCTCCTACGCCTGCTCCCATGCTGGGCCTCAGCACAGCGGAGGGATTTGAGGCAAGGTGGCGGCCGTCCATCCGAGCGGTCTTCTTCTCAAAGATGTTCAGGAAGCTGGACACCAATGTGGAGGTCCTCCTCCTGCAAGCCACGTTTGAAGAAGTGTGTTGCTGTGCGGCCCACCGTTTGGGTTTCATGGCCACAGATCTTCTCCGGCATTTTCTCAGGAGCCCCATTTGTGCGAGGTGGCCGTTGAAAATGGCCCACGCGTACGGGCGAGCGCTTATCCAGGCTCGAAAATCCTGCCCAGCCTCCCGCGATCTCACCGGAGATTGGGGGCACCTTCACGGGTGGTTTGCCCGTAAGCTGCTCCTGCTGCTGCTGAGATCTTCGGATCACCTTCTTCTAAAGGACTCTGAGGTCGAGGCGATTAATATGAAGGCTCTCAGTGGCCTAGCCCCACGGTATGTGCAGGAACTGATCCGTGTTCACTCTCCACCGAGGTCCCCGGGATCTTCGCACCGCCTCCCTCGGTGGACTCTGCCCCTGGAGTGATCGTCGTGGCTTTTCCCACCGTGCAGCTCCCAGACGATGGAACAACGCTTTTGCCTTTCCTGTCTAACGATAGTCGGAGCCGTTCGATATAGTTAGATCTGTCTTGGAATCTCTCACCTCTGTAAACAGGCCCGAGCCCCGTTGCCGAGTTCCGGCGGTTTTCCCAGCAGGATCTGTTTATTTCCTGGCTTTCCCTGCACGGCACGCATTGGCGGGACCCACGGATGAAATGCGCCTTCGCGGATCGTAGATTTACGATTGTTCAGGGGAAGATACGCTGAGAGTCCAGCTGTGCAAATTCATCCGACGGGGGGGCCTTGAATCGGCGCCTTCTCCAAGGGCTGGCCGGCGGTATTTGATACGTGGGTGGCATGCCAGGGCCCCCGGGCGCAGGCTGGACGCCGTGTTTGCCCCTCGTGGTAGCCTGTTAAAAGCTGTCCGACGAGTGGAAGGGGGGAGGGTAAATCTTTGTGCGTACAGTTCACGTGTTGGCAAGGTGCACGTGCGTGCATGTGTCTGCGAGGAACCGGTGGTGCAGCGGTTAGCGCGCTAAGCGATGAACCCCGGCCACCCGAGTTTGATTCCCGCTCGCGGCCAACACCGGTGACGATAATCTGAACCACTCCTGGATCTTCCCTTGGTCGACTCAGCGACGAATGAGTACCTGGTGCGGTGTGAACATCGCCACTGTGGAGACGAAGGCGGCTGGGTGTGGTGCTGGCCACCGCACCCACCCCTTCGTGTCACGGTGCTGGCCTTCATCGGTGCTACTCACAGACAACACTTGCCCCAGCAGCCCGTTAAAGGCAATCCAGAGGATTGTTGTCATTGTGGCTGAGAGAAAGATTCGAGAGGGCCTTTCCTAGGTTGACTCGGCGTGGAATGAGTACCCGGTGCGGTGTGTAAACATCGCCAGTAGGAAGACAAAGGCGGCCGGGCGTGGTGCTGGCTACCCACCTCCTGATGTGCTGTGCCGGCCTTCATAGTTGCTCACTAACAGCGATTGCCCCAACAGTCTGTTCAGGCTATACGGGGGATCTTTGTCTTTGTGTGTAGTTGGTGCATAGTGGTCGTGTAGCGGTGAGCGCGCTGCGCGCCGAACCCAGCGACCCAAGTTCGATTCCCGCTCACGGCCAAAAGCAGTGACGATTATCTGAACCAGTCCCAGGCCTCCCTTTAAGTCGCCTCAGCCATAAATGAGTAACACCGACGCGGTGCGTAAGGCAGCAGCGCTCACATGAGCACCTGGAGCGGTTGTGTTAGCATCGCCACCATGCCGTCCTTCGTAGGTGCTCGCTAAAAGGGCTTGCCCCAATGGCCTGTTACGGCTGGGGATGTGTGTCTGCTTGAACAGTGCTGTATGTGTTCATGCATGCGTGTGTGTGTGTGTTGATGCATGCTTGTTTGTGTTAGTAAAGCCTAATACGATCGTCTGCGTCGTGCGCATGCATGCACGTGCGTGTACCTCGGGGAGCGGTGGCGCAGTGGTTAGCGCACTGCACTGCGAACCCCGCAAACCGTGTTGGGTTCCCACTCATGGGCAACATCGGTGGCGTTCATTTGAACCAGAGCCTGGGCTTCCACTAGATCGACTCAGCCTTAAACACCGGTGCGGTGTGTAAAACAGCAGCACTGGGGAGATAGAGGCTGCTGGGCATGGTGCTGGCCACAACACCCCTCCATAGGCACGCCGTTCCGGCATTCATAGGTGCTGCTCACTAACAGCACTTGCCCGAATAGGCTGTCAAAGGCTATATGGCGAGGGGTGGAAAAATTTGTCTTTGTTTGTACACGTGTTAATAAAGTACGTGCGTGTGCCTGTGTGTACATGCGTGTGTACTTGTGTGCACTTGTGCGCGTGTTCGTTTTGTGTGTGTGCGCGTGCGCGTGTATGCGCGTGTGTACGCGCGTGTGCATTGCAGCCCCCACGGAGGCCCCGCGTGCGTGTGGGCCGGAGGAGTTTGCATGCGGCTCGGGTGAGTGCATCCCCCTCGACTACGCGTGTGACCGCCGCATGGACTGCGAGGATGACTCGGACGAGAGCAACTGTGGTGCGTAGTCACTCGCTCGCCCGCCCGCCCGTGTCTCCCTGTGTGTCCCTGTGTGCCCCTGTCTGTCCCAGTGTGCCCGCGTCTGCCCCTTTGTATCCCAGTGTGTCCCTTTGAGTGTCTGGTGTGTCCCTGTGAGTGTCTGTGCGTGTCTTTGTGTCCCTGTGTGTCCCTGTGTCTGCGTGCGTGCGTCTTTGTTGTGTCTTTGTGTTGTTGTGCGGGTCTCTGCGTGCCCCCTGCGCGTGTGTCCGTGTGCACCCCTGCGCGTGCCCCTCTGCACGCGCCCCTGCGTACCCGTCGCTGTGGACGTACCGTGTGCGTGACCCTGTGTCTAACCGGGAGCACGTGTCTCTGCGCGCTGTCTCTTATTCTGCCTGCCGCCGTCCCGGAGACAGCGCCAAGGTAAGAGACCTGAGCCACGGCCACTTGGACACTCCCAGCGCACCGCACGGTGCACCATGCTTCCTGGGGTCTCCTCCTCATTCTGACGAGGAGCGGATCCTCGGGGAGGAGGGGTGGGCAGGGGGGGTGAATGGTGGCGCCCCCCCCCCCGCCCCCCACCCCCCGCCCCCCGCCCCCCAAATAATCAATATTTCTTGATTGATATTTACTGGAGAAAATAAATACATTGATTGTTTGTATGAATGTCGTGCCCTGTTTGATAAGTTTGACATTTCAGGACAGCCGCCACCCACCCCCATCGCCCCCCTTTCCTCCCCCCCCCCCAGAAAAAAAAATCCGCCTCTGCCCGCTCATGTAGAGTTAATCTCACGTCGTGATGAATATGTTCCGGGCTGTGCAGAGCGGCCCCGATCGTGCCTCAGGGTGCCGCGGTGGCGAGATGTTAACTACCTCGCCTGGTATACAGGGGGTCGTGGGTAGATCCCGACCCTGACGCCTGTATATGTGGAGTTTGCACGTTCGCATGGACTTAACTTCGGGTCTTCCGCTTTTTCCCTACACATTTAGAATCATCATGCGTTTACAATAGTTGCCTACTATAAATGTCCACATTATGATAAGCCACTTCGTTGAGCTATGATTTGTGGCCAGGTCGCTTCTGAAATGGAGCTGCATAGCTCAGTTGGGCCTTACCCAGTAAATAAACAAATAGTTCCGTGGTTTTAGTCACGCTCCCGCGAACCCGACGGCTCGTTTCAGATTCCCAAACCTCTCTCGGCACCTGCTCACGAGTCGATCCGACATTCTGGCGAGCCGGCTGACCAGACACCGAATGTCGGTTGCGTCAACTCCAGAGTTTTGTTTGCGTAGCACCGACGCTGCACCCGGCAGGAGGCCGTCCATCTCTTTTAGTTTGACGTGGCGGAGTGGAGGGACACACGTGTGGCAAGGAGACGAACCGTCCGCTTCACGAACTCATCGCGCTCCCATCGAGCCATTCCGGATTCCGACGAGTCGTGCGGATTCCGCGGGAGCCCCTTTCCGCATCTTGCCGAGCCGTCGTCCCAGACCCCCCCCCCCCCTCCCGCCGAGTCGTTCATGGCCGCCGTCTCCCCCCCCACCCCCCCCCCCCCACCGCAGCCATCACGGCAGAGCCCACCCCCCCTCCCGCCGTCGTGCTGCCCCCGGCTGTTGTACCCGGCCTTCCCGAGCACCCTCCTAGCCGGCCCGTCGTCAGGCCCGTCGTCACGCCCCCTCCGCCGCCGTCGCCGCCGACGCCGCCGCCTCCGCCGCCTCCGCCGCTGACGCCTCCACCGCCTCCGCCGCCGACGCGCCCCCAGGTCCCCCACACCGCGGCACCCGTGCCGCCCCCCTCGGTCGCTCGCCCGTGCCGCGTCGAGGAGGCGGTTTGCGGCAATGGGCAGTGCGTTCCGCGGGACTACCTGTGCGACGGGGAGAAGGACTGCACCGACGGGAGCGACGAGATGGCCTGCGGTGAGGGCGACGGGCCCCCCCCCCCCCCCCACCCCCGGCCGTCGTAAGGCCTTGCCGAGGCTGTTGGGGCAAGGTTAGCGTGCGGCACCTTCGAAGGCCGGCGCGGCGCGCCAGGCGAGCCGGTGGTGTAGCCGTGAAAAAAAAAAGAACTCCGCTCCAGCCGCCGCCACCCCAGTACCGACGCTTACACACGCCGCACGTCGGTACGCAATTAAGGCCAAGTTGACCTAGGGGAGGCCCAGGACCGGTTCGGATGTTCGGCACCGGCGGTGGCCGTGAGCGTGATTGGAACTCGGGACGCTGTATGTGAACAACTGCAGTTTCCACTCCCCTTAACACATGGACACACAAAGATTCCTCATGTAGTCAGACTGTTGGGGCAAGTGCTGTTAGCGAGCAGCTATGAAGGCCGGACGGCACACGAGGGGGTGGGTGGCCAGCATCACGCCCGACCGCCTTTGTCTTCCCAGTGGCGATGTTTACTACACACCGCACCAGGTACTCATTCGAGGCTGAGTCGACCTAGGGGAGGCCCAGGACCAGTTTAGAGAAACGTCGCCGGTAATGGCCGTGAGCGGGAATCGGGCTCGGGTTGCCGGGTTCGTAGCGCAGCGCAGCGCTAACCGCTACAAAACAACAAAGATCCCCCATATAGCCTTAACAGACTGTAGGGGCAAGTGCTGTTAGCGAGCACCTATGAAGGCCGGAACGGTACACGAGGGGGTGGGTGGCGAGCACCACGCCCGACCGCCTTTGTCTCCCTAGTGGCGATGTTTACTACACACCGCACCAGGTACTCATTCGAGGCTGAGTCGACCTAGGGGAGGCCCAGGACCAGTTTAGAGAAACGTCACCGGTAATGGCCGTGAGCGGGAATCGAGCTCGGGTTGCCGTGTTCGTAGCGCAGCGCAGCGCTAACCGCTACACGAACGCTAACACACAGACAGACACGTGTGCACGGACGCTCTGGTGTTGCCTACGTGCTCACAAGCCGCGTGCGTTGCCCGCAGCCACCGCCTCCCCGTGCGAACCCAACGAGTTCCGGTGCCAGAACGGACGCTGCGCGCTCAAGCTGTGGCGCTGCGACGGAGACAACGACTGTGGGGACAACTCGGACGAGGACGTCTGCCGTGAGGGTCGCACTGGGGACACGCGGGGGGACGCGGGGGGACGCGGGGGGGGGACGCGGGGGAGAGACGCGGGGACACACGGGGGGACGCGAGGGGGGCTGCGAAGGAACACGCTGTTACGGACACGCCGGGACTCACGGGACGCCACGGGTGGATGCACGAGGAACTTGTGTGTGTGTGTGTGTGCCTGTGTGCGTGTGCAGCGACGCGGGGCCCGTATGACCGCTGTGCCCCGGAGCAGTTCTCGTGCGCGTCGCGCGACCAGTGCATCCCGGCGAGCTACCAGTGCGACGAGGAGCGCGACTGCCGCGACGGCTCCGACGAGAACGACTGCCGTGAGTGACGATGCGCACGCGCGCGCGTTTCACTGAGCACGTGGCACGCACGAGTCCACGCAGACGCGCGCGCGTGCGCGCGCACACACACACACACACGTTTAAACCTGCACATCCGGACCGCCACGCTGCCTGGTGCCGGCACGCCGGAGCACGCGTGAAGAGCGTCCACGCCGCGTCGGTGAAATGGCCGATCTGTTCCAGCGCCCGCACCAACTGCGATGTGCGGCAAGCAAGGGGGCTTTGAGACGCACCCCGTAGCTAGCGTGCGGGAAGCGGGAGCGGGGACGGTTCGCACCCCGCGCCGCGTGGCCCCGGCTGCGGGGAGTCAAAAGGCGGCCGGGCGCGGCTGCCGCTCCCTCGCGGCACTCGCCCCCGACGGTCCGTCGAAGGCCACCCGGGGGATCTTTGTCTTCTCGCTCAGGCCCCCCGCAGGTGGTGACGCCGCCGGCGGACATGGTGATGGTGTCGCGGGGGGACTCGGTGACGCTCACCTGCGAGGCCGTGGGGGTGCCCACGCCGCTCATCACCTGGAGGCTCAACTGGGGGCACGTGCCCGCCAGCAGCCGGTACGTGGCGGGTTGCGGTACGCGCGGATGGTTACGCGCGGACGGTTACGCGCAGACGGGTACGTGCGGACGGGTACGCGCGGACGGGTGCGCACAGTTGGATCCGAGCGACTCGCTATACGGAGATGAGTTTCTAGACTCACATGTTCGCAATCGGGGCAATGTTGTTTGCAGGTGATCTTGTTTGGCCAATACCAGTTACGTATTTATTTTTTATTTGTATTTTACCAGTTAAGGCCCACTGAGTTACGTAGCTCTTTCTCAGGAGCGACCTGGCCACAAGCGATAGCCCAACGAGGCGGCCTATCGTGTAGCAGCCAAATATTCTAAACGCGTGATGTTGTTGATTCTAAATGTGGAGGGAAAAACCGGAGGGGCCGCAGAAAAATCCACGCGACCACGGGGAGCAAACTCCAAATATACAGCAGCAGCAGCAGGCGTCAGGGTCGGGATCGAACCCACGACCTCCTGTATACCAGGCGAGGTAGTTAACATCTCCTAGCCACCGTGATGATGATGAGAGAGAGAGACAAGCAAACTCCAAATATACAGCAGCAGCAGGCGTCAGGGTCGGGATCGAACCCACGACCTCCTGTACACCAGGCGAGGTAGTTAACATCTCCTAGCCACCGTGATGATGAGAGAGAGAGAGAGACACGCAAACTCCAAATATACAGCAGCAGGGCGTCAGAGTTGGGATTGAACCCACGACCTCCTGTATACCAGGCGAGGTAGTTAACATCTAGCCACCGCGGCGCCCCCATACACTCAGCCACACTCGCTCGCACACAACAACGACCGCCGTTCGCCACTAGGAGGTGACGTCACCACCAGGCTAGGTGCAACTTGAGGCCACGTGAAGTGTCGAAGGCTCACTGCCGGCAGGAGGTTTTGCACGCTCGCAGTCCGCAGCAGAACAGCGGGAGAACAACCACTCCACACAGGAAGTCGCCCGGGTCGAGATTCAAATCACGACTCCTCGCTGTGACGCACGGAGCGTCGCCACCGTGCCACCGTCACCCTGCCGCCCGTGTGAACATGCGCGTGTGTTGCGTGCATGTGCGCGTGCGCGCATGTGTGCGTGCGTGCGTGCGTGTGCATGCGTGGCGGGTTTAACGGAACATTGATATCCACGCGATCTAACCTAAAAACACCTCTTCTGTGTTGATGCGTGTGTTGCGTACGTGTTCGTGTGTGCGCACGTGTCTACGTGTGTGCGTGCGTGCGTGCGCGTCTGTACGTGTGTGGACGCGTGTGCGTGTGCACGCGTGTGCGCGTGTACGTGCGCGTGTGTACGTGTGTGCGTGCACGTGTGGGCGTTTGTGCAGGGTGTCGATGAGCTCGGAGAACGGGCAGGGCGTGCTGGTGCTGCGTGACGTCAAAGACTCGGACCAGGGCGCCTACACGTGCGAGGCCATCAACGCCAAGGGCATGATCTTCGGCATCCCCGACGCCGTGCTCGTCGTCAAGGGCGACACCGGTGCCTCCTCCTCACACCTCCTCCTCAAACCTCATCCTCCTCCCTCCTCCTCCTCGCTCCTCAAACCTCCTCCTCACACCTTCTTTCTCCTCCTCCTTGTGTCGAGGTGTGGGAGCTGTGTGTGTGTGTCGAGGTGTGGGAGCTGTGTGTGTGTGTCGCGGTGTGGGAGCTGTGTGTGTGTGTGTCGAGGTGTGGGAGCTGTGTGTGTGTGTCGAGGTGTGTGTGGAGGTGTGGGAGCCGTGTGTGTGTGTGTGTCGAGGTGTGTGTGTGTCGAGGTGTGTGTGTGTGTGTGTCGAGGTGTGTGTGTGTGTGTGTCGAGGTGTGGGAGCCGAGTGTGTGTGTGTCGAGGTGTGGGAGACGTGTGTGTGTGTGTGTGTCGAGGTGTGGGAGCCGTGTGTGTGTGTGTGTCGAGGTGTGTGTGTGTGTGTGTGTCGAGGTGTGTGTGTGTGTGTCGAGGTGTGTGTGTGTGGAGGTGTGTGTGTGTGTGTCGAGGTGTGTGTGTGTGTGTGTCGAGGTGTGTGTGTGTGTCGAGGTGTGTGTGTGTGTGTGTCGAGGTGTCTGTGTGTGTGTGTGTCGAGGTGTGTGTGTGTGTGTCGAGGTGTGTGTGTGTGTGTCGAGGTGTGTGTGTGTGTGTCGAGGTGTGTGTGTGTGTGTGTGTCGAGGTGTGTGTGTGTGTGTCCGTGCGCCCCAGGCCCGTGCGGGGAGGGCCAGTACAACTCGGTGGCGAGGGAGCGTGCCGAGTGTCTCCGCTGCTTCTGCTTCGGCGTCACCAACGCCTGCGAGAGCACGCGGCGCCACCGCTCGCAGATCACGCTGCGCTTCACCGAGCCCGACGACCAGAAGGGTGAGGGGCGCCGCGCCGCGTGCGTGCGCGCCGTGCCACCGCCGCGGGCGCATGTGCCGTCGAGACGCGCACTGCCCACGAAGCTTGGCGGTGTTTGTCTTTTTTTTCGGTGAGTGAGTGGGTTATCGAGTGAGTGGGTGAGTGTGTAAGTGAGTGGGTGAGTGAGTGGGTAGGTGAGTGAGTGGGTGGGTGAGGGGAGTGAGTGAGTTGGTTAGTGTGTAAGTGAGTGGGTGAGTGGATGGGTAGGTGAGTGAGTGGGTAGGTGAGTGAATGGGTTATCGAGTGAGTTGGTGAGTGTGTAAGTGAGTGGGTGAGTGAGTGGGTAGGTGAGTGAGTGGGTGGGTGAGGGGAGTGAGTGAGTTGGTTAGTGTGTAAGTGAGTGGGTGAGTGGATGGGTAGGTGAGTGAGTGAGTGGGTGAGTGAGTGAGTGGGTGAGTGAGTGGGTGGGTGAGCAAGTGGGTGAGTGAGTGAGTGAGTGGGTGAGTGAGTGGGTAGGTGAGTGAGTGAGTAGGTGAGTGAGTGGGTGAGTGAGTGGGTAGGTGAGTGAGTGAGTAGGTGAGTGGGTGGGTGGGAGTGAGTGGGTGGGAGAGTGTGTCATTGGGTTATGGGGAGCGGTGGTGCAGCGGTTATTGTGCCGCGCTACGAATCCGGCGACCCAAGTTCGATTCCCACTCACGGCCACCACCAGTGGCGAATATCAGAACTGATCCCCTAGATCGACTCAGCCTAAAATAAGCACCTGGTGCGGTGTGTAAACATCGCCACTGGGGAGACAAAGGCGGTCAAGCGTGGTGCTGGCCACCCACCCCCCCGTGTGCCGTACCGGCCTTCATAGGTGCTCACTAACATCACTTGCCCCAATAGTCTGTTCAAGCTATGGGGGGATCTTTGTCTTTTTGACTGGGTGAGTAGGTGAGTAAGTAAGTGGGTGAGTGAGAGAGTGAGTGAGAGGGTGAGTGAGTAGGTGAGTAAGTAAGTGGGTGAGTGAGAGGGTGAGTGAGTGGGTGAGTGAGAGGGTGATTGGGTAAGTAAGTGGGTGAGTGAGAGGTTGAGTGAGTAGGTGAGTAAGTGGGTGAGTGAGAGGGTGAGTGAGTAGGTGAGTGAGTAGGTGAGTAAGTAAGTGGGGAGTGAGAGGGTGAGTGAGTAGGTGGGTGAGTAAGTGGTTGAGTGAAAGGGTGAGTGAGAGGGTGATTGAGTAAGTAAGTGGGTGAGTGAGTAGGTGAGTGAGTAGGTGAGTAAGTAAGAGGGTGAGTGAGTAGGTGAGTGAGTAAGTGGGTGAGTGAGAGGGTGAGTGAGAGGGTGAGTGAGTAGGTGAGTAAGTAAGTGGGTGAGTGAGAGGGTGAGTGAGAGGGTGAGTGAGTGAGAGCGTGAGTGAGAGGGTGAGAGGGTGAGTGAGAGGGTGAGTGAGTAGGTGAGTAAGTAAGTGGATGAGTGAGGGGGTGAGTGAGTAGGTGAGTGAGTAGGTGAGTGAGTAAGTGGATAAGTGAGTGGGTGAGTGAGTAGGTGAGTGAGTAGGTGAGTGAGTAAGTGGGTGAGTGAGAGGGTGAATGAGTAGGTGAGTGAGTAGGTGAGTAAGTAAGTGGGTGAGTGAGTAGGTGAGTGAGTAGATGAGTGAGTAAGTGGGTGTGTGAGAGGTTGAGAGGGTGATTGAGCGAGCGAGCGGTTTCACGACTTGCCAACGAGTGCTGCATCCGCCGGCCATCTCGGTCAATCGACCCATAATGCCTGGAGTCTGTCCCGTGGCCTCCTGTCAGCACGTGGCGGCCTCAAAGTGCACCTAGCCTGGCACAAGCTAACGCGGGGGCATCTGTTGTTGTTGTCATCATCGTGCGCCGCGGCAGGGGTGAACGTGACGATGCGGAGCTCCATGTCCCAGCCGCTGCTCGCCGCCACGCAGATCATGGTGGACGGAGAGAGCGGCTACTTCCAGCTCGTCGACCTCTCTCGACATTTCCGCACCGTCGAGTCCTTCTGGGAGCTGCCCGGCCAGTTCCTGGGCAACAAGGTGACCGTCCGAGGGAGACCCACAAGGCCACTCTTGCCCCGCCCTCGCCCCGCCCATACCCCACCCTCGCCTCGCCCATACCCCACCCCAAGCCATGCCCCACCGAAACCCCACCCACGCCCCGCCCCCCCCATCCTCGCCCCACCCCCCGCCCACGCCCCGCCCACGCCCCGCCCACGCCCCGCCCACGCCCCGCCCACGCGCGTGAGTGTGTGTGTGTGTTCGGTGGGGAGCGCTAAGAACCCAGCGACCCGAGTTCGACTCCTGCTCACGGCCACCAGCACCAGTGACGATTATCCGAACCGTTCCTGGGCCTCCCCTGGGTCGACTTAGCCGCAAAAGAGTGCCTGGTGTGGTGTGTTAACATCGCCGCTGGAGAGACAAAGGCGGCCCGGAGTTGGTGCCGGCCGCCCACCCCCACGTGTGCCGCCCCTCATTCACAGGTGCTGCCCGCAGGCTGTTGAAGGCTATGCGGTGGATTTTTGTCTTTCGCGCGCATGCAGATTGGCTCGTACGGCGGCTCCCTGCGCTTCAAGATCCGCTACAGCGTGGGGCGCGTGAACCAGCTGAGCGTGCCGTCGCGGCCCGACGTGCTTCTCAAGGGGGGCGGCCGCACGCTCGCGTACCGCCCCCGCAGCGCCACGCAGGCGGGGGCCCACAACGACCTCTCCATCCTCTTCATCGAGGTGCCGCTAGGCCCCCGCGCGATTACGACGACGACGACGGGGGTGGGGGGGGGGTGGTGGTTTCAGCTGCGTGTAAATCCCGATTGAGTTGCGGTTTGTGGTGAATTTTCGAATTTGGACCCTGACGCCGGGGGGCAACTCTCGCGAATGGCGAAGCGGGTGGCGCCTCGTCGTCGTCGTCGTCACAGCGGCAGTAGCCGTCGGCGTTACGCACGGTACATGAACGCAGTATTAACCGGGGCGGCCGCCGCTGGATTCGAACCGTGAACCTCGGCGGCAGGGAGGCGCGGTGGTCACACCCGCGCCTCGCAGCTAGAAGGGCCTGGGTTCCATGCCCCACTCGGGCACCTTCCCGTGCGGGGTTTGTCTGCGTTGACGCGTGTCGGTGTCGATGTTTCTCGACGTGTGCGGGTGTCTCTTGTCTGCTCATGTTTGTCGACGTGCTGCTGATGTGTGTCGGCCTCTCGATGTCTCTCGATGTTTGTCAGTGTCTCATGTGTGTCGACACGTGTCTCGATGTCGACTCGTGTCTTGGTGTCTGTGTGTCACGGTGTCTCTGTGTCTCGGTGTGTGGCTTGGTGTCGTGGTGTCTCGGTGTCTCGATGCGTGTCTTGGTGTCTGGGTGTCTCTGTGTCTCGATGCGTGTCTTGGTATCTGTGTGTCTCGGTGTCTGGGTGTCTCGATGCGTGTCTTGGTGTCTGGGTGTCTCTGTGTCTCGATGCGTGTCTTGGTGTCTGTGTGTCTCGGTGTCTGTGTCTAGATGCGTGTCTTGGTGTCTGCATGTCGTGGTGTCTGGGTGTCTCAATGCGTCAGGGTGTCGCGGTGTCTCTGTGTCTCGATGCGTGTCTTGGTGTCTGCATGTCGTGGTGTCTGGGTGTCTCGATGTGTGTCGATGCGTCTGGGTGTCTCTGTGTCTCGATGCGTGTCGATGCGTCTGGGTGTCTCTGTGTCTCGATCCGTGTCTTGGTGTCTTGGTGTCTGCGTGTCTGGGTGTCTCTGTGTCTCGATGCGTGTCGATGCGTCTGGGTGTCTGCGCCGCGTGCCGACGTCTCTCGGTGTCGTGCGCTGGCGCAGGAGAACTGGCAGCACGAGGGCAGCGGTCGCGCCGTCACGCGGGAGGAGCTGCTCATGACGCTCGTGAACCTGGAGGGGATCCTCATCAAGACCGTGTACGATGACAAGATGGTGAGCGTGGGCCTGGCCGACATCGCCATGGACACGGCCATCACCACCACCACGAGCCTGGGCCCCGCATACGCCGTCGAGGAGTGCAGGTGGAGCATGCCAGACACAGCACGGACACAGCACGGACACAGCACGGACACAGCACGGACACAGCACGGATACAGCACAGACACAGCACGGATACAGCACGGACACCGCACAGACACAGCACGGATACAGCACGGACACAGCACGGACACAGCACGGACACCGCACGGACACAGCACGGACACAGCACGGACACAGCACAGACACAGCACGGATACAGCACGGATACAGGACACAGCACGGACATAGCACGGACACAGCACGGACACCGCACGGACACCGCACGGACACAGCACAGACACAGCACGGATACAGCACGGACACAGCACAGACACAGCACGGATACAGCACGGATACAGGACACCGCACGGACACCGCACGGACACCGCACGGACACAGCACGGACACAGCACAGACACAGCACGGATACAGCACGGACACCGCACGGACATAGCACGGACATAGCACGGATACAGCACGGACACAACACGGACACAGCACGGACACCGCACGGACACAGCACGGACACAGCACAGACACAGCACGGATACAGCACGGATACAGGACACAGCACGGACATAGCACGGACACCGCACGGACACAGCACAGACACAGCACGGATACAGCACGGATACAGCACACAGCACGGATACAGCACGGACACAGCACGGACACCGCACGGACAGAGCACGGATACAACACGGATACAGCACGGACACCGCACGGATACAGCACTGACACAGCACTGACACCGCACGGACACAGCACGGATACAGCACGGACACAGCACGGACACAGCACGGACACAGCACGGATACAGCACGGACACCATGGAAACCACAACTCGGCATTAAACGAGTACCTGGTGCTGTGCGTAAACATCAGCAACTGGGGAGACAAAGGTGGCCGGGTGTCGTGCTGCCCACACGACCTCTCTGCCAGAGGTGCTCGCTAGCAGCACTTGTTGATGTATGTTACTCAGGAAAGAGAGAGGACAGGCTGCACACAGAGAGACGCCCACAGTCGGGGGGAGCGAACCCAGACGCGTTTGTTTGTTCACCCGGGAAACCTCGCCGAGTCTCAAGGCTCCCTCTCAGGAGGGTCCTGCTAGATTTCCAGCCAGTAGTGGGCTTGGGGGGGGGCGATGTTGCCGTCGTGTGACCCCTTACAGCCTTTGCAGCCTGTTCAGGCTATACGGGGGATCACTGTCTCTGTACACGTGTGTAAACGCGTGTACGCGTGTGTGTGTGTACGTGTGGGAGCGGTAGTGTAACGGTTAGCGCTATGCTGCGCTATAAACCCGGCGACCCGGGTTCGATTCCCGCTCACGGCCAACACCAGTGACGATTATCTGAACCGGTCCCGGGCCTCCCCTAGGTCGACTCAGCCTCAAATGAGTACCTGGTGCGGTGTGTAAACATTGCCACTGGGGAGTCAAAGGCGGTCGGCCGTGGTGCTGGCCACCCACCCCCTCGTGTGCCGTTCCGGCCTTCATAGGTGCTCGCTAACAGCACTTGCCCCTACAGTCTGTTAAGGCTATACGGGGGATCTTTGTCTTTGTACACGTGTGTAAACGCGTGTACGTGTGTGTGTGTGTACGTGTGTGTACGTGTGTGTGTACGTGTGTGTGTGTGTACGTGTGTGTGTGTACGTGTGTGTGTGTGTGTACGTGTGTGTGCAGGTGCCCCCCGGGCTACACGGGCCTATCGTGCGAGCAGTGCGCTCCGGGATTTTCGCGGGTCCACTCCGGCCTTTACCTGGGAACCTGCGCCGGCTGCAGCTGCCACGGCCACGCGACCGCGTGTGACGAGCGCACGGGCGAGTGTCTGGTGAGCGGCAGCCGGCGGCACGCTCGCTCACACACACACGCTCGCTCGTACTCACACACACACACGCTCGCTCGTACACACACACACGCTCGCTCGCACACACACACACACGCTTGCTCGTACACACACACGCGCTCGCTCGTACACACACACACACACGCTCGCTCGTACACACACGCTCGCTCGCACACACACGCTCGCTCGCACACACACACACGCTCGCTCGCACACACACACGCTCGCTCGCACACACACACACACGCTCGCTCATACACACACACACGCTCGCTCATACACACACACGCTCGCTCATACACACACACACGCTCGCTCATACACACACACGCTCGCTCATACACACACACACGCTCGCTCATACACAAACACACGCTCGCTCATATACACACACACGCTCGCTCGTACACACACGCTCGCTCGCTCGTACACACACACACACGCTCGCTCATACACACACACACACACGCTCGCTCATTCACACTCACACACGCTCGCTCGTACGCACACACATGCTCGCTCATACACACACACACACGCTCGCTCATACACACACACACACACGCTCGCTCGCACACACACACGCGCTCGCTCATACACACACACACACACGCTCGCTCATACACACACACACGCTCGCTCATACACACACACACGCTCGCTCATACACACACACACACGCTCGCTCATACACACACACACACATGTTCGCTCATACACACACACACGCTCGCTCATACACACACACACACACGCTCGCTCATACACACACACACGCTCACTCAAACACACACACGCTCGCTCATACACACACACACACGCTCGCTCGTACGCACACACACGCTCGCTCATACACACACACACACGCTCGCTCGCACACACACGCTCTCGCTCATACACACACACACACTCGCTCATACACACACACACGCTCGCTCATACACACACACACGCTCGCTCATACACACACACACGCTTGCTCGCACACACACACACGCTCGCTCATACACACACACATGCTCGCTCATACACACACACACGCTCGCTCATACACACATACACACACACACGCTCGCTCAAACACACACACGCTCGCTCGTATACACACACGCTCGTATACACACACGCTCGCTCATACACACACACACACGCTCGCTCGTACACACACACACGCTTGCTCGCACACACACACGCTCGCTCATACACACACACATGCTCGCTCATACACACACACACACATGCTTGCTGTACACACACACGCTCGCTCATACACACACACGCTCGCTCGCACACACACACACACGCTCGCTCATACACACACACACACACGCTCGCTCATACACACACACACACGCTCATACACACACACACACGCTCGCTCATACACACACACACGCTCGCTCATACACACACACACGCTCGCTCGTACACACACACACACGCTCGCTCGTACACACACACACGCTCGCTCATACACACACACACACGCTCGCTCGTACACACACACACACACACGCTCGCTCAAACACACACACACACGCTCGCTCGTACACACACACGCTCGCTCATACACACACACACAGACACGGGCTTCCTCGTGCACACGCTCGCTCATACACACACACACACACGCTCGTACACACACACACACGCTCGTACACACACACACTCGCTCGTACCCACACAGGCAGGTTCAATAGACTCCTGCGCGGACACAAGGTCGCTTGTCCACCCGCTGACACACATACACACAAAGTGTACGCTCCCCCGTAGAGCCCTTAACAGACTCTTGGAGCAAGTGTTGGCGAGCACCCGTTAAGGCCGCCACAGAGCACGAAGGGGCCGTGAGTCCACAAGGTCACTCGCACGCTCACGCCCCTCCCCCGTGTCTCCCCCCCCGTGCCCCCCGGTAGAGCTGCCAGCACAACACGGAGGGGGCGCGCTGCGATCGTTGCCGGGCGGGCTTCGTGGGGGACCCCACGCGCGGGACCCCCACCGACTGCCAGCCGTGCCCCTGCCCCTTCACGGGGCCCCCCAACCGGTGCGCGAATGCACGCACGCACGCACGTGCATGCGTGCGTGCGTGTGCATCCACACACACGCATGCACGCACGCACGCACACACGTGCGCGCACACAAGCGTGTACACAATGACTCACACGCACACTCACGTGACAAAGATCCCCCCGTATGAAAGTATGTATGTTGAACTTCGTGGTGGAGCGCGGCGGAGCGCGGCGGAGCGTGCTGCATTGTGCTGTATCATAGTGGATCGCCGTTGATGGTGGTGGGTCGTGTGGCCCGGTGCAGGTTCTCCCAGACGTGCTTCCTGGACAGCGACGGGCGCCCGACGTGCGACGCCTGCGCCCCGGGATACGTGGGGAGGCGCTGCGACCGGTGCGCGTCGCTCGCTCACGCACGCACAAAGATCCCCGTGTAGCCTCAAGCCGACTGACGGGGCAAGGGCCGTTAGCGAGCACCTCCGAAGGCCGCCACGGCAGACCTACGAGGGGGCAGTGTGGCTCGGCGCCACGTCCGACCGCCTTTGTCCTCCCGGCGCTGACGTTTACACGCCGCGCCGGGTGCTCGTTGAATGCATTTTCGTTATAGGGGAGGCCCAGGACGGGTTTGAGATGATTGCCGCTGATGTCGGCCGACCCGGGACTCGAACAGAGATGGCCGGGTTATTGCAGGGGCGGTGCGCTAACCATTGCGCCGCCCCTCCACGCACGCACCGACGGGGATGTCTGGGGCGCTGTACGGGGCGATGACCCTAACGTGACCCCCCCCCCCCCCTCACCTCCTCCTCCCCTCCCCCCTGCTCTAGCTGCGCGCCCGGCTACGAGGGAAACCCGACGTCGCACGGGGGGACCTGCCAGAGTGAGTGACAGCACTGGAGACACGGGGGGCGGGGGTGTATGGGGGGCCTGGGATATATGGGAATGCTGGGACGTGGGGATATGCCTCTTATTTTCTTTGGAACTGCTTTTTGTGTTTAGTTTGTCGTCCTCGTCCCCGCACCTCCGGTTAGCGCGGTTGGCTACGTACAGTGCAAAAGAAGTTCAATCGACATATGAAGAGACGGGGACATGGAGATATGATGACATGGTGATATGGGGACGTGGAGACGTGAGGACGTGGGGCCATGATGACGCTGACGCAGGGGTGCGGACGCCAGCCCTCTCACCTCCGTTATCCCCGACGGCTGACGTCAGCCTTCCCGCCGACCCCTGAGATCTCTCCAACCTCTTATCTCTGCGTTGCCCCTGTGCCCCCTCACCCCTGACCTCTGACCCCTGTTATGTGCCTCCTAGGGGAGGAGGGTCATTGTGACCGCCGGGGCAGCCTCTCTCTGCAGCCCATCGGAGGGCAGTGTCTTTGCAAGGTGAGTCGGTGCTGTAGTCCCTCGGTCCCGTCTCCGCATGGGCGGCGCCATGATGACGACGATGACGATGATTCCAACGATGACGAAGATGATGACGGTGGCGCAACCGCAGCTCCGCCCGTCAGACAATCCGGGGGCTGAGCCTCGCTGGGCACTTCAGCGAGCGTCTCTGCTAGGGAGATAAATAAGCAGCTCCATGCACTGCCGGGACCTCTGGAGAGTTTCGCATCGGCAGAAGCGGTGGCGATCGCACCCAGTGGATTTCGCTTCAGGATCTGGAAGAGTAACTCAGTGCATTGCTAGAACTTGTAGGTAATCGCTCGGTCAGTGCGGCACGGGCTGGCGATCACTCGGTGGGGTTTCTCTTCAGGAGCTAGAGGAGTGACTCGGTGCCTTGCTAGAACTTGTGCATTTCTGTTGATCTCCTCCAATGCAGATTTGGCTGATGACACATCCACAGGCCTAAAGCGGCGCCGATGGTGATGTAAATAAAAGTAAACCATTTTTTGTATTTACCAGCTAAAGCCCACTGAGCTATTTAGCTCTTTTTCATAAGCGGCCTGGCCACAAATGATAGCTCAACGAAGTGGCTTATCATCAACATCATCATGTGGAAATGTATAGCAGCCAAAATCCTATAAACGTGTGATGTTGATTCTAAATGTGGAGGGAAAAACCGGAGGGCCTGGAGAACAATCCACGCAGCCACGGGGAGAGAGACACGCAGACTCCAAATATGCAGGTGTTAGGGTCGGGGTCGAACCCACGACATCTCGCATACCAGGCGAGCTAGTTAACATCTCCTAGCCGCCGATGGTGCGGACCGCAGGGGAGGGGGCGGCGCCGGCCTCTCGGAGCTCCGGACGGAACGGCCGGCCGGCCCTCCGCTGGTGCCGCTCTCTGCGGCCAGGGGGAGAGTCCCGGGACCGTTGTTGCATCGTCAAGGGCGGCGAGCGGCTGGGCGAGCGGGGGCAGTGTCCCAACGACCGTGCCCTGCTCGCCCTGGTCCACGCCAACCTCGGCAACGTCTTCGGGAGCCCGCGCTGAGCGCGCACGTTCAGGATCTGCTTGGCGGTGTCGGGTGGCGAAGGGTTTCGGCGACACAAGTTGGGTCCGATGGTTACGCGGTCTCAGCCAGACGTTCACTACGGAGGAGGCTCTCTTGTCCCGGCTCCGGTGTTTATTGCAGCACCTTCCTCTTTCTACCGCCCCCTGCCTCCCTCCCCCATACCCCTGTCTGTCCGTGTGTCCTCCCCCCCCTCCGCCATCCCAGCCGCACGTGGTAGGATCCCGCTGTGACGAGTGTGAGGCCGGAGCGTTCCATCTGAGTGACACGGGGCCCAACGGCTGCCTCAGCTGCTTCTGCATGGGCCTCACGCGGCAATGCACCAGCTCCTCCTGGAGCCGCGACGTGGTGAGGGCGGGGGGGGGGAACCTTGTCGAGGTCGTGGTGGTGGTGGGGGGGCGGAGGGGTGCGGGGCTGGGGGGAGGGGCGAGTTGCGGGGTGAGCGTGAGGGGGGGGGGGGGCGGTCAGCGTGCCGCGCTACGAACCCGACGACCGGAGTTCGCTTCCCGCTCACGGCCACCGACACCGGTGGTGGTTGTTTGAACCGGTCCGAGGCTTCCCCTAGGTCGAATCAGCCTCAAACGAGTACCTGTACGTGTGTTGAATTTCTTTCGCACCGTGCTAATCGGAGGTGCGGGAGTCGGACAAGAAACTAAACACAAAAAGCAGTACTTGGTGCGGTGTCTACAAAGGAGGGCAGGCGTGGTGCTGGCCTCCCACCCCCTCGTGTGCCGTGCCGGCCTTCATAGATGCTCGCTAACCGCATATGGGGGACCTATGTCTTTGTTATCAATGTGTGCCTAGGTTTGTCCAGCGCAACACATGGTTAGACACCCTAAGGTATGCCCAGGTGTGCCCAGGTGTGGTTAGACACCTTTAGGTATGCCGAGGTGTGGTTAGACATCCTCAGGTGTGCTCAGGTGTGGTTAGACACCCTCAGGTGTGCCCAGGTATGCCCAGGTGTGTCCAGGTATGCCCAGGTGTGGTTAGACATCCTCAGGTGTGCTCAGATGTGGTTAGACACCCTCAGGTGTGCCCAGGTATGCCCAGGTGTGGTTAGACATCCTCAGGTGTGCTCAGGCGTGGTTAGACACCCGCAGGTGTGCCCAGGCGTGCCACTAACTTCCTCTGCCCGCACCCCCTCCCCCCTGGCTGGCAGGTGCGAGCGGACTTCTCGGCGAGGGAGCAGCCCCTGTACCAGCTGACGGAGCTGGCCAGCGGGCGCACCTTCCGCGACGAGCTGGTGTTCCGCGGCGACGCCATCTTCGTCTACAGCTTCAACACGCTGCCCGCGACGCCGCTCTACTGGGCGCTGCCCGACCGCTTCCGCGGGGACAAGGTGTGCAAGGGCAGAGCGAGTGCAGCAGCTGGCACGGGGCCGCTCGCAACCCCACCCCTTCTACGTGGGCAATGGGAGGCCGGGGGGGCGGGGGGGGGGCGGGGGGGCGGCCGCGTGGCCAGCTGTGAGCGTCACAAGCGCACGTGTGTGTGTGTGTCCACGTGTGTGTGCCCACGTGTGTGTGTGTGCCCACGTGTGTGTGTGTGCCCACGTGTGTGTGTGTGCCCACGTGTGTGTGTGTGTCCACGTGTGTGTGTGTGCCCACGTGTGTGTGTGTGCCCACGTGTGTGTGTGTGCCCACGTGTGTGTGTGTGTGCCCACGTGGGGAGCGGTGGTACAGCGCTTAGCGCATCGCGCTACGAACCCGGTGGCCCGGTTTCGATTCCCGCTCATGGCCAACGCCGGTGATGATTATCTGAACCGGTCCTGGGCCTCCCCTAGGTCGGCCCAGTACCCGGCACGGTGCGGGAGACCAAATGCGGCCGCGCGTAGTGCTTGCCACACCACCACCACCACCACCTCGTCGGTGCTCCGTGACGGCCTCCACACTCGTCACTCGCTAGCGGCACTCGGCCCAGCACGGGGGAGGGGGGGGCGGCATCTTCGCCTTTGGTGTCACCGAGCAGCGTCCGCGTGCGTGCGTCTCCCCGCGCCCGCAGGTGACGGCGTACGGAGGGGAGCTGCGCGTCACCGTGCGCTACGAGGCGTCCCCCGGCGCGACGGCGCACGCCGCGCCGTCGCTGGCGGACGTGCTGCTGCAGGGCAACGACATCTCGCTGGAGCACCGCCTCAACGCACCGCCGCAGCCTGGGGCCTCCACGCCGCTACGCATCCCCATGCGGGAGGTAAGGGGGAGCTGTCATACCGTCCCCCACCACCCACAACCCCCCCCCCCCCCGCCACCACCGCCGCCACTGCCGTGGGTTTTCTCCGTTGCGCTTCGGTTTCCTCCTGCTTCTCTGGATGGCAGCAGCTCGTGATACGTAGAGGACGGCAGAGCTTGGGGGTGGGGTCATTGACAGTGACGCTGGATCCTCGCTGTTCGCGGTTCCTCCCCGTGGCGCCTCCGAGTCATCCTCTCTGTCTCGCTGCGAGAGCAAGGAGCAGGCGCCACGTGGATGCGGCACAGCGTTACAAGCCGACACTATACAGCAAAACCTTGGCTTGCGAGTCACTTGGTCTGCGAGTGTTTTGCAAGACGAGCGTCACGTGATCACAACTGAGTACTTTGATATACGAGTGCTTTGATATACGAGTGCTTTGGATTACAAACACGTTTCCGGAAAGAATTCTGCTCGCAATCCAAGGTTTTATTGTATATCGTTATCTTCATCATCGTTGTTGTTGTAATGCTACCTCGTGCCGTGTGCCCGTTCCCCAGTCATCATGGCGACGGGCGGACGGGCAGCCCTGCTCGCGCGAGCACCTGCTCATGGCGCTCGCAGATGTCGCCGTCCTGCTCGTCCGGGCCACCTACACCGACAACACGCGCCAGGCTAGGTGCACGCCGCACCTCCTCACAGCGCACCCACCTCTACTACTCACAGCCCCTGGCTATGCAAGTCTAGGGTCTCTATGCAAGTCTATGGGTCTCTATGTGAGTCTATGGGTCACTACAAGAGTCTATGGATATCTGTTTGAGTCTGTGGGTCTCTGCGTGAGTCTGTGGATCTCTGTGCGAGTCTATGGGTCTCTATATGAGTGTGTGGGTCTCTATGTGAGTCTGTGGGTCTCTGTTTGAGTCTGTGGGTCTCTGCGTGAGTCTGTGGATCTCTGTGTGAGTCTGTGGGTCTCTGTGTTAGTCTACAGATGTTCACCAGGCTACTCCTGAAGCCATCCACTGGCTCAGCCACCAACCTCCACCTGAAAACAGAAACACTACCGATGAACTCACTGTGATCCTCTGACCCCATGACCCCATGACCTTTGCCCCTCATACCGACCTCCCCCACCCTCCCGTGTGACCGCAGCATCAAGGACATGACCCTGGACGTCGCTGTTCCCATGGAGACGGGGCTGGGCCGTGCCTACGAGGTGGAGGAGTGCATCTGCCCCACCGGCTACCGCGGAACTTCCTGTCAGGTGACTATAGTGGGCGGGGGGGAATGCAGGGGGGGGCGTCGGAGGGTGGCGGGGTTGAGAACATCATTCCGGTACATATTTTCCACTGCCACAACTGAACCGAGCCAGCACGTGGCCCCCATGGCACGGGTTATTTTCTGCTGGCAATTTGCCAAGCCATGCCGGGAACAAACCGCGCTCCGGGGGCCAAGCAGGGCCAGGGGCGGGGCTAATGACGTGTTTAATGCAACTGGCACCAGTCGTTAACTCTCGCGCGACGTCACCGCGTCACCCGAGCCCGTCTGCGCTCGTTCACCGCGCGTGTGACGTCACCGGCGCGGCTCGGGGCTGTGCTGTGGAAAGACAGCAGCCTTCTGAGCCGCACCTGCAGCCGGTTTCGGCATGGCTCAGGCACGGCTCTGGTTTCGTGGTGGAAAGCTTCCGTGGGTGGCCTCGTGGGAGAGCAACGGGGAGATTCTCGGAGCCGCCCGTCCGGGTGCCGTCGTTGGAGAATGGCCGCTGCCTGGGCCTGCCCTGCCGCTCCCTCTTGACGCTAATTAACCCGTGAACTGTGAGCCGCACGTCACCATGCCGACCGGCGCTGGCCTCCCTAACAGACGCGGCGACGTCGCCACGGTGCCGAGCGCGGTAACAGCGTCTGGCCTGCCGCTCGCGCGTTAACATGTCGGTGTGCGAGTGATGTTCGCATGTCCTAACCTGTGACCCCTAACCTGTGACCCCTCCCCCCTCAGTTGACCTGTGACCCCCCCCTATCCTGACTCCACCAGTTTGCTGCCCATAACCCCCCCACCCACCCCTCCCTCCCCCTCCCTCTCCCTCCTCCTCCCACCCACGGTGCTCTGCGAGTCCGGGTCACGACCCCAGCATAGTCCACTCCACGTCTTTTTTTTTACCCGAACTCCCGGACACCACAGTCCGTGGGCCCAGAGCAGATGTCGAATTTCAGCGACTGCTCCCGAGCCAACAAAACTCCCGACTCTTAACTGGCCGTATAATTTCGAGTTGCGCCGCTGCCACCGCCGTCGCCGAGAGAGGGGACGACTCGGGGGGCCCAACGAGGAGGAACCACGGACGAGCGGGGAGGCATCGGCAGCAGCCACGCTGCGAGCTGGCGCTAACAAATGGCCAAGCCTTGCGGTCCTCTGTATATGTTAAGGTGTTGTCGGCAAGTTAAAGAGCTCTGAGGTTGGCTTATCGTCTCGGCCGGTACCGGTTTATCTTACCGCTCAGGCGCAACCGGTGTAGCCGGCGTTTAGCCGGTGGGGCTGCTGGCTCCACCTGGAAGCAGCAACCGGTAGCGGTGCGGGAGGGGAGGGGGTAGCGTAGCGGAAAAAGAAAACGTGGAGCGGAGCGCGCGTGGGGGTTTCCGGACCGGGGGCCTCGTGGCGCGACCCCTAACAGAGCCTTGCTCCTCCTCACTGCCCACCCCTCCCTCCTTAACCCCGGCTTGCCTCCCTCGCCGCGTGCCGTGGCGCCCGCGGCACGGGACAGGACTGCGCTTTTGGCTTTACGCGCTCCGAGGTCGGCCTGTACCTGGGCATGTGCGTGCGCTGCGACTGCCAGGGCCACTCCAACGACTGTGACGCGCAGTCTGGCCTCTGCCTGGTACGTACGGGGCCGGGTGGGGCCCACGCGCGGGGGCGGAAATGGGGGGCGGCCTGGTGGGTTCACGATCGTTGTCGGGGTCAGCGTCAGGACAAAGCTCGTGGTCACGGAGGGTTAGGGGAAATCCAGGGGAGGCGGTAGGAACGCGCTCTTTTTACTTGTGAATTATCGATGTCGAACTGGGGCTGAGGATGTCGATGCACCAGCGCTGTCCGTCCGTGCTGTGACGTGGGGGGGGGGGGTTCACGGTGACTCTCGTAACGACGAACCAATTGGCATGAGGTTCTGTCGTTCGTGGGGAACCTGTCCAGGGGAAGCCAGACCGCGTCGACCGCAGCTCTGCCCAAAACACCCTTGGCCAGACAGCTGCCACGTGTCGCCGGCTGCCGCGCTGCTAAATTCAATTCTGTCGGGGCCCAAAGATGCGCCCCGTTCACCGGCTGCAGAATCCGCGCACGAACGTGGTTGTTCCCGACCAGTTTATTTACCCATGGCTTAATAGCCCTTTTATCTGTTAATGTCTCCTGGGATGGACAAGCGTGCAGAGAGCCATACCAAGAGGCAGGCAGGCAGGCAGGCATACGGACAGACAGAGGCAGACAGAGGCAGACAAAGATACGCGGACAAATAGACAGGGCCACAGAGAGAGACACGCTTAGCGAGAATGACAAAGGCGGACAGAGGGAGACCTAGAAAGACGGGCAGACAGACAGAGTCAGGGACAGAAACACTTATAGCGAGACAGACACAGATTCACAGAGACAGCCCTTGCAGCATGAGGCCACCCTGCTGGATGGTAATAATATAGAATAATGATAATAATACCAGTTATGGTAGTGATGGTAACCATGGTAATCATGGTAATTCTGGTAAGGATTGTGGTGATAAGTGGTGGCAGTGAAAGTGATGGTGGTGACGATGGTAATGATGGAATGGTGACAGTGATGGTCGTGATGATCGCGATGGTGATGGTAATGATGATGGTGATGGTAGTGGGTATCGTAATAATGGTAATGATGATCGCGATGGTGATGGTAATGATGATGGTAATGGTAGCGATGGTAGTGACTATGATGGTGATCCTATGCGTGTTTTCTCATGTCCCCACGTGTCCCCCACGTGTCCCCCCGCGTGTCCCCCCACGTGTCTGTCCACGTGTCCCCCCGTATCTCCCCATGTGTCCCCGCGTGTCCCCCCACATGTCTGTCCATGTGTCCCCACGTGTCCCCCCGCGTGTCCCCCATGTGTCCCCCCACGTGTCTGTCCACGTGTCTGTCCACGTGTCCCCCCGTATCTCCCCATGTGTCCCCGCGTGTCCCCCCGCGTCTCCCCACGCGTGTCCCCGCGTGTCCCTTCCATGTCCCCCCGCATGTCTCCCCCGCCCCCCTCCCCCGGCGCGTCCTCACCACTCAGAGCTGCCAGCACAACACTGACGGGCCCCGGTGCGACCGCTGCAAGCCGGGCTTCTACGGAGACCCTTCCACGGGGGGCCCCGACGCCTGCAGACCCTGCCCCTGCCCCCCCATCGGACAGTACGCCCCCCCCACACAGCACCTCCCCGTACCCCACCCCCCTCCACCAGCCAAATACGTCACCCAGCGACCCCCCCCCCCCTGCTCTCCCCCGGCATCGCTCACAACACCCGCCTAGCTCGCGTGGGCGGAGGGTAAAATGCGGAACTCCCCTGTGGCCCCGCGTGCACGCAGGAGCCCGGGGTCGTGCTACCGAGACTCGGACGGGCAGGCAACCTGCACCACTTGCCCACCAGGGCACACCGGCCGCTTCTGTGACAGGTACGACATTTGCCGGTGTATCTCATGCAGGTACCCGCACACCAGCGCTATCTTGTACAGAGACCCACGTACCCCCCCACGTCTGTGCCCCCCCCGCCCCCGCTGCCTTCACCAACCTGGCAGCGATCACTACGCAGGCGCAGGGTCAAACATTCTCAGACCACCATTGTTCAGCACGCAATGACCTTGTGTGCCGTGCCAGCCTTCATAGGTGCCACTCGCTGACAGCACTTGCCCCAACAGTCTGTAAAAGGCTACACGGGGGATCTTTGTCTTTTGTGTCTTATCCACCATCCGGGGAAGCGTCACCGATTCCCGATCCTCCCTTCGTCCGGAAGGGTCCCTGCGGTGGGACGTTTGGGCAGCGGTGCTCGTGGGAAATTTCTGTTGCATTGTGGGAGGAAACTGGAGGAACGCGCGCCGGCTCTAACTGCTGCTTGAAGCTTCGTGCCTGGTCCACGCGTAGCGAGTGTTACAGGGCGACGCTGGGGAGAGGGGGGGGCGATGCGGGGGCGACGCTTATCGGGGGGGGGGGGCGACTTTCGCTCCCAAGCGTCACCCGTTTAAACCGCCGATTTCACTCCGACCATCGCCAACGCGCCCGGAGAAGTCTGCGGAAAACTTTTCCGCGACAGACGGAGCAATGCGTGACGTCGCCTTCTTTGACGTGAGCCGCAATCGACGGGCGCGGAGCTATCGAGCGTGCAGGCGGTGCAACCACAACGGGACGAAGATGGGGGGGTGGGGTGGTGGTGGTGGGAGGAAATTGGACAGGGGCAGCCGCAACAATCTCTCTCATTCCTTGCGCCAGGGCACATTCCAAGGACGGCGCGCCAACGGGCCAGGTACGGTGTCGCGAGGTTTGGCCCGTTGATGGAGGGGATGCCGAGCCATGGCCTTCATGCTCTCTTGGCGCTATCATCGGCAGATTCCTAGTGCGCGGCAGCTTGCCTGCCGATGGGCCCCAGCGGGCGACGGCGATTGGGGGCGAGCCGCTCTGTAAACGTTGCGCCGCGCGGACCGGGCCTAACACTCGGGGGGGGGGTCGCGCTGCTCAGCCGTGACTGCCGGCATCCTAGGTGGTGAGACGAGTTTGGGGGGGGGGGCAGGCAACAGGACAGGAAGTGGGTTGGGGGGGCCAACATACCAAGGTTTCACCCTTCCGGGCTGAGTGAGGACGCCACCGCGGGGGATCTGTACCCCGGAGGTAGCGGCGGCCTACGCAGTCATCGGCCGTGCGCGTGGCTCGGTCCGAGCCTTGGGATTTGGGGGTTGGAAAATGATCGTCGTCGTCGTCGGCCATGGTCAATCAACTGCTGGATGAAGGCCTCCCCGCCGAGCCACCGCCACCCTCTCACGATCCCACGATGTCGTAATAATCCGTCCTGCGCCTGTGCACAGAGCCAAATTCCATCGCTCCGTCACCTCGGAGGACATCCGCTTCGTCGCCCACACGCTGGAGATTAGCGACATCTGGCACCGCGACCCAACGACCAGCCACTCAGACGAGCCTCTCGGTGGAGCGGCTGTGGTCCCGGCCACCTGGGTCGGCAGGTGGAAGTAAAGCCCCAGGGGCTGCTGTGAGGTCTCGCCGGTGAATCACAAACGTGCCCGAGGTCCCACGAATCACCTGGGTTCGGTAGGGCATCCCTGAAGTTCACCCAGGGGAGGCCACGCCGAGGAGGTTTCTAAGAAAGGCCCCTGGGATGCCCAGGCCCCCGGACACTAACCCTGCCTCTGCCGATTAATGGCGCTGCCGATTAACCGCGCCGCGGGTTCCCGCGCCCGCCGACCCGGCGGCCGTGGCCGCGGCGCCGTTTGCCTTCCTTGCCTCTCGGCTTCCGCTTCCCGGCGCCGGCTGCGATGGCGGTGTTGTTGATGGCTGACTGTCGTCCCTGCCGGTGAAGAGTGGTGGTGTACGCAGATGACCCTGCGGGCGCGGGCATCACGGGCCCCCCCGGTGACTCCGTCGCGAGCCGATGCCCCGGCAAGCGCCTCCCCTTCCTGCGGTCAGAGCAGCTCATCCCCGTGGGGTGCTCGCTGTGGGCGGGCGGCCCCGCCGTGCCCGTCCGGCCCAGCCTGCTTGACTTCCCGGGCGGAGGGCCGGCGTTCCCCGGCACCGTGCCGGTGGCGGTCGCCGCGTCCCGGAGCGCCCGGCACTGGGAGCACGAGGCCGAAGGCGAGGCCGCGGTGAGCGGCTCCGAGCGGCCCGAGGTGGGGAGCGGCGCCGGAGACGACGCGAAGGAGGCAGAAGCGGCGGCCGCGGCGGCCACGGTGGCGGCGGCGACGCATCCGCCCCCGTCGGCTCGGCGGGGGGGGCGGCGGCGGCCGCCCCTCAACCTTGTCCTGCCGAATCCACGGTCGGGGACACCACGGGGCGCGCCGGACGCAACGGATAGCACCGTCCCCGCTCCCGCAACCTCCGCCCAAAGGCAACTCAGCGACGCGAATACGCCGGACGCATCCACGCGGGACGCGGCCGCCCCGCTCTTGCTGTGGGGCCACCGGGTGGCGACGTTGGAGGGGCTGCTGGGGAGGACAGCGCGGGCCGTGAGCTCGCTGCGGCGCCGGCAGCAGAAGCTGTCGCGGGCGCTGGGAGCCGTGCGGCGCTCTCTGTCCGAGCTGCGCCGCGAGGTCGCCGCCGCGCTCGGCCGCATCGCGGCCTCCGAGCTGCGCGCGGACGGCGCGGAGGCGGAGGCGAGCGCCGCGCGGGGCCGGCTGGAGCACGCCGAGCTGCTCGCCGCGGGCCACGCCGCGCAGATCTCCGAGCTCCGGCAGAGGCTGGGGGACGGCGTGGGCGGGCACGCGGGCGGGCAAGCGGGCAGCGAGGCCACCGTGGGACCTGGGGCCACGCTGGGCAACACACAGACTTGGGAGGACCGGCAAAAGCCACAACAGCAGCAGCAGCAGCAGCCCGGGGAACGCGAGTCAGTGGGGAGCGGAACGGGTGGGACCCTGAGCAAAGCTCCAGGTGGACATTCTGGTGGATACTCGGGTGGACCCCTACGCGTCCGCAGCAGTCGGAGAAACGCCTCCGCGTCGACGCAACCCAGGCTCCCTGGCGACGAAGGGGGCCGCCCCGCGCCAGGCCGGCGCCCCCCCACTGTGCCCGCCCGGCGGCACGACGGCTCCACCCCGGGCGGCCTGGCGGAGGACGATGCGACATCCGGCGACGGCTCGGCCGCGATGAAACCGCCACCGCCGACGGCCCGGCCGGCTGCCGGCAGCGCGGGCGTCGCCGCCGTCGCGGCGGCGCCTCCCGCGCGGCGCTGCGACGGCGACGAGCCGGAGGCGGCGCCGGGGGGCCCCACCGCCCGCACGACGGCCAGGCCCGTGGGGGGACGCGGCGGCGGCGGCAGCGGCGGTGCGAGGACCTCCGCGTTGCGTCTGCAGGAAGTGCTCGAGTTTGTGCGTGGGCAGACCGTGGTGGGCGTGGGGGGCAGCAGAGGGCAGCCGGCCTCGGGTGGCGCCGGGCGCGGTGCCGCGGGGGGCCGCGGCCGTGGGCACGGGGGGCTGTACCTGGCGCTGGGCCGCCTCGCCGTCCCGCTGCACGTCATCCCGGACTGACGGGCCCGCGTATTGCCACACGCACGCACGCACAAAGACGAAGGTTCTCCCGTATATAGCCTGAGCAGACTGTTAGGGAAAGTGCACGCACACATACGCACAAACACGCGTGTGTGATACGCGCATGGACCGTGCGTTTGAGTGAACCGTTACTTAGAGGTTTTTCAGATTAAGTGCAAAGTAAAAGGGTTCGTGGGCACATGTCCTTGGTAACCTCACACACACAGCCCCGACGCCCTCACAGACACACACACGCGGCTCTAACACACACACACAGCCCTGACACCCACACACATCCCTGACACACACCCACACACACAGCCCTGACACCCACCCACCCACACACACATCCCTGACACACACACACACACATCCCTGACACACACCCACACACACATCCCTGACACACACCCACACACACATCCCTGACACACACCCACACACACATCCCTGACACACACACGCCCCTGACACACGCCCACACACACATCCCTGACACACGCCCACACACACATCCCTGACACACCCACACTGCCCGTGCTGGTGTGTGTCTAAGCCGTCTGTGCTGCTGCAGGCTGAGTTAATAAAAACGCAACGTAGAGGAAAGGACATTGTTGGCATCGGTGCAGAAACAAGCACGAGCCTCGGAGCTCCACGTCATCATCATCGTCATCATCACCATCATCGTCACCATCATCATCATCGTCACCATCGTCACCATTGTCGCCATCATCACCACCATCATCACCACCATCGTCGTCACCATCATCACCATCATCACCATCGTCATCACCACCACCATCATGATCGTCACCATCGTCATCATCATCATCACCATCATCGTCATCATCACCACCATTGTCATCATCGTCACCATCGTCGTCATCATCGTCGTCATCGTCATGGTCGTCACCACCACCATTCATCGGGACCACCATCATCATCACCACCATCATCATCATCATCACCACCACCACCATCATCATCATCATCACCACCACCACCATCAATGTCGTCATCACCATCATCACCATCATCGTCAGCATTGCCATCGTCAGCATCTTGGAATTCTTAGAATTGCCTCTCCCTCCTCCTTCGTCTTGGCCATGGCACCGCGTTCAGGGGCTCGACGCCAATGTCGAGTTCTGCCAGCCACGCGAGGGCTTTAGGAGAGAGTTCGTGCAGCTCAGATACTCCTCCTCCTTCGTTGAACGAGCCCAGCACGCAGTGGGTTCACTGTGCGCTCCGCAGTTTGGGTTCCATGGCCACAGTGGCTGCGTCTTCCATTTTTTTTCCGCTCATGGAGGAGGTGCGGTGCATCGGCCTGCTGATGTTCCGATGCGGTCGATGGTCACGCCGCCGGCAACCTTCGAGGAGGATTGTCGAAGGAAGGGGGAGGTGCGTTGATGATATTTGGGTCCCAAATGGGGTCTCCTCCCCCGTTCCGAGACGTCTGCAAGTTGCAGGGTGTGGGTGGTATCCCCGTTCACCGACGAATCTCGGAACACGCGAGCGGCTCAGCGTTAATTTTATTTAGAGAGGCGTAGCAGCGCCGCTGTTTTTACAGACATCGTTACTCACCGCAGAGAACCGTAGCGACGTGACCGCCGCCACTCTACGATAGCTGGCGCCAAACTGTGCCACACACAGCCCTCCCGCATGGCCTTCTGGGAGCCTCGGTACCTATAAGGTTATTTTAGTTTTTCTTCCGATTCTGTTACGACGATGCTCCGGTTCCATCTCTGTCGAACGTGCCGTTGCCACGCCGCCGCTCTCCGGTTGCGTCGAGCCACGAGGCCCGGCTGCCATGTGCCAACGGGGATGAGGGGGCGACCGCGCCGATTTGGGGGCGACAGTGCAACATGCCCCTCAAGCGCCCGTGTCCGCGGGGGAGCCGGTAGTGCAGCGGTTAGCGCCGTACTGCGCTACGGGACCTGGCAGAGACCCGAGTTCGATTCCCACATACGGTCACCAACACCGGTGATAGATCATCTGAACCGATCCCTGGGCCCTCCTCTAGGTCGACTGGGCCTCAAAAGAGTGCCCGGTGCGGTAAGCAAACATCGCCAACTGGGGAGACGAAGGCAGCCGGGCGTGGTGCTGGCCACCCATCCCCTATTGTGTCATGCCTGCCTTCATAGGTGCTACTGGCTAACAGCAGTTGCCCCTACAGTCTGTTAAGGCTATACAGGGGCAGGGCTTTGTCTCCGTGTGGGGCATAGTGGCAGACAGCTCGTATCCCTCTCACACTTCACCGAGCCGCACGAGGACCGTGCCGACCCAGCCCCCGGCGACACTTAAAAGGCGCCGGAACCATTTTTCCACCGCAAAAAACCCGAGCCCTGCCACTGAGCTCACGCGCAGCAAGCGAGTCGAGAAGCACGTGGGTGACGCTGCGTCCTCACCGCGTACCGACTGATGTCATCAGCCCCTCCCCACTCCCCCTGGCCCTGCTTGGCCCCCCCGAGCAAGTTTCAGATGTCTTCTTCTTGTGAAGCCAGCAGCGTAGCACGGTTTGGTTCCCGCTGGGCTCGGCAAATAGCCAGTGGGAAAATCACCCCGTAGTACGCGAGGGCCCTGTGCTGGCTCAGGGGTTATCACAGAGTCACGCTAAGACACACGCAGAGGCGGGCTGGGGAGAGGGTGAATGGAGACCGGGTGAGGCCCCGGGTGAGACTGGGTGAATGGAGATCGGCTGAGGCCTCGGGTTAGACCGGGTGAATGGAGACCGGGTGAGGCCCTGGGTTAGACTGGGTGAATGGAGACTGGGTGAGGCCCTGGGTTAGACTGGGTGAATGGAGACTGGGTGAGACCCTGGGTTAGACTGGGTGAATGGAGACCGGGTGAGGCCCCGGGTGAGACTGGGTGAATGGAGACTGGGTGAGGCCCTGAGTTAGACTGGGTGAATGGAGACTGGGTGAGACCCTGGGTTAGACTGGATGAATAGAGACAGGGTGAGGCCCTGGGTTAGACTGGGTGAATGGAGACTGGGTGAGGCCCTGAGTTAGACTGGGCGAATGGAGACCGGGTGAGTCCCCGGGTGAGGCTGGGTGAATGGAGACCGGCTGAGGTCCCGGGTTAGACTGGGTGAATGGAGACTGGGTGAGGCCCTGAGTTAGACCGGGTGAATGGAGACTGGGTGAGGCCCTGGGTTAGACTGGGTGAATGGAGACTGGGTGAGGCCCTGGGTTAGACTGGGTGAATGGAGACTGGGTGAGACCCTGAGTTAGACCGGGTGAATGGAGACCGGGTGAGGCCCTGAGTTAGACCGGGTGAATGGAGACCGGGTGAGGCCCTGGGTTAGACTGGGTGAATGGAGACTGGGTGAGGCCCTGGGTTAGACTGGGTGAATGGAGACCGGGTGAGGCCCTGAGTTAGACTGGGTGAATGGAGACCGGGTGAGGCCCTGGGTTAGACTGGGTGAATGGAGACTGGGTGAGGCCCTGAGTTAGACCGAGTGAATGGAGACTGGGTGAGGCCCTGGGTTAGACTGGGTGAATGGAGACCGGCTGAGGTCCCGGGTTAGACTGGGTGAATGGAGACTGGGTGAGACCCTGAGTTAGACCGGGTGAATGGAGACCGGGTGAGGCCCAGGGTTAGACTGGGTGAATGGAGACTGGGTGAGGCCCCGGGTAAGACCGGGTGAATGGAGACTGGGTGAGGCCCTGGGTTAGACCGGGTGAATGGAGACTCTCATCCAGGTGAGTAACCTCTTTCTCCCCCCCCCCCCCCCCAGGGCCTTCCTCCTCCCCTCCTTCCATTTCCCCTCAAAGCCGACCCAGTACAGCAGAGGTTCACAATCACAACCGCTAATTGCTGTGCGTGTGTGTGCTCGTGTGTGTGCAGGCGTGCTGCACTAGTGACGAATTGCCATGCTTTGTTTACGTAACAAACCTTGCTAATTGGCTGTGTCGGGTGGTGGTGAGTTTAACGACACATTTATATTGACGCGATCTAACCCAAAAACACCTCTTATGGATAATATTGGTAGCTAAAGCCCTACCACGTGTTAAAATACAGGCCATGCTGGCCTGCATAGGTGCTACTACTCGCTTAACAGCACATGGGGGATCTTTGTGTGTGTGTGCGTGCAGGTGTGCGGAGGGATATTCTGGAAATCCCCAAGCTGGCCAGCCCTGCACAGGTGAGATATGCACAAGTACACAGGTCTGGGTCACCAGTGATGTACACAGGTACGCAGGTGTTTAAGTCACTTGTGATATGCACAGGTACACAGGTGTATGGGTCACCAGTGATATGCACAGGTACACAGGTGTTTAGGTCACTAGTGATATGCACAGGTACACAGGTGTGGGTCGCCCAGGCTAGTGAGTGACGTGCGGGGGTGAGTGACGTGCGGGGGTGAGCGACGTGCGGGTGAGTGATGCGCGGGGGTGAGTGACGTGTGTGTGTGTGAGTGACGTGTGTGTGAGTGACTTGTGTGTGTGTGTGTGAGTGACGTGTGTGTGTGTGAGTGACGTGTGTGTGTGTGAGTGACGTGTGTGTGTGTGTATGAGTGACGTGTGTGTGACGTGTGTGTGTGTGTGTGAGTGACGTGTGTGTGTGTGTGAGTGACGTGTGTGTGAGTGACGTGTGTGTGTGTGAGTGACGTGTGTGTGTGAGTGACGTGTGTGTGTGTGTGTGAGGTGTGTGTGTGAGTGACGTGTGTGTGTGTGAGTGACGTGTGTGTGTGTGTGAGTGACGTGTGTGTGTGAGTGACGTGTGTGAGTGACGTGTGTGAGTGACGTGTGTGTGTGAGTGACGTGTGTGTGTGTGTGACGTGTGTGTGTGAGTGACGTGTGTGTGAGTGACGTCTGTGTGTGTGAGTGACGTGTGTGTGTGAATGACGTGTGTGTGTGAGTGACGTGTGTGTGTGTGAGTGACGTGTGTGTGTGTGAGTGAGTGACGTGTGAGTGACGTGTGTGTGTGTGTGAGTGACGTGTGTGTGTGTGAGTGACGTGTGTGTGTGAGTGACGTGTGTGTGTGTGAGTGACGTGTGTGTGTGTGAGTGACGTGTGTGTATGTGAGTGACGTGTGTGTGTGTGTGAGTGACGTGTGTGTGTGTGAGTGACGTGTGTGTGTGTGACGTGTGTGTGTGTGTGTGTTGCGCAGAGGGATGCCACTGCGACCCCCGTGGCAGCGCCGGAGATCAGTGCGACAGCCACAGGGGCTGCCAGTGCAAGGTGAGGTGCGCGCCACGGCGCCGGGTAGTGTGGCGTGGCGTGGTGTGGCGTGGTGTGGTGTGGCGTGGTGTGGTGGTGGTGGTGGTGTGTCTTGCGATGCAGTGTATATGTGTGTAACGTGGTGCGGTGGTATTGTGTGCCGTGGTGCGGCGTGTCTGTGTGTAACGTGGTGTGGTGGTATTGTGTGCCGTGGTGCGGCGCGTCTGTCTGTAATGTGGTGTGGTGGTGTGGTGTGCCGTGGTGCGGCGTGTCTGTGTGTAACGTGGTGTGGTGGTGTGCCGCGCCAGGTGAACGTGGAGGGCCGTACGTGCGACACGTGCCGCCCCGGCACGTTCCACCTCCACGCCGACAACCCCGACGGCTGCCTCGCCTGCTTCTGCATGGGCGTCACTGGGCAGTGCGCCAGCTCCGGCTACTACCGCCACACGGTGGGCACACACACACACACGTGGGCACACACACACACACGTGGGCACACACACACACGTGGGCACACACACACGTGGGCACACACACACGTGAGCACACATACACACACGGTGGGCACACATACACACACACGTGGGCACACATACACACACAAAGATAAAAGATCCCCCATATAGCCTGTAACAGACTGTAGGGGTAAGTCCTGTTAGCGAGCACCTTTGAAGGCCGGAACGGTACACGAGGGGGTGGGTGGCCAGCACCACGCCCGACCGCCTTTGTCTCCCTAGTGGCGATGTTTACACACCGCACCAGGTACTCATTTGAGGCTGAGTCGACCTAGGGGAGGCCCGGGACCGGTTCAGATAATCGTCACTGGTGTTGGCCGTGAGTGGGAATCGAACCCGGGTCGCCAGGTTCATAGCGCAGCGCGCTAACCGCTACACTATCTCTCCACACATACACACACACACGTGGGCACACATACACACACACGTGGGCACACATACACACACACGTGGGCATACACACACACACACACGTGGGCACACATACACACACACGTGGGCACACATACACACACACGTGGGCACACATACACACACACGTGGGCACACACACACGTGGGCACACATACACACACACGTGGGCACACATACACACACACGTGGGCATACACACACACACACGTGGGCACACATACACACACACGTGGGCACACACACGTGGGCACACATACACACACACGTGGGCATACACACACACACACGTGGGCACACATACACACACACGTGGGCACACACACACACACACACGTGGACACACACACACACGGTGGGCACACATACACACACGTGGACACACACACACACACGTGGGCACACATACACACACGGTGGGCGCACCCCACACACGTGGGCACACAAAAGGCCGCACGTGGGCACACAATGCACATGCATGGTAGGCAGACACATGTCTGCACGTAGGCACATGGTGGGCAAATGTGATGATGCTAATGATGCTTCTGATGATGCTGCTGCTGATGGTGATGATGATGCTGATGATGATACTGCTTTTGATGATGCTGCTGCTGCTGATGCTGCCGGTGCGCCTGCGTGCAGATCACGATGGGGCTGCAGCCCGGGGGCGAGCACGGCTTTGCGCTGGTGAACCGTGCCCGCACCGCCGTCGTCACCGACGGGCTGCTGCTGGAGCGCGTGGCCCCGGGGCGCGTCACCGCTCCCGCCTTCGGCCAGCTGGCGCCGCACACGCACTACTGGCGGCTGCCGCCCGTCTTCACGTCCGACAAGGTGACGGCGCTCGGACGCTCGCTCGGGCGCGCGCTCGTATGGCCTTGACAGGCTGTTGGAGCAAGTGCTGTCGACGGGCAGCCGTGAAGGCCGACGTTTGCCTCGCGAGTGGCGATGTTCACGCAACGCGCCGGGTACTCGTTTGAGGCGGAGTCGCACGCACGCAGGCGCGCACGGCGTGTTTTGGCCGCACCCGATTTCACCTCCTGTCTCCTCATTCGTTCTTCCTCCGTTCTTCCTCCGTGTCTCTCCCGTCTCTTTCTCCGTGTCTCCCCCGTGCCTCGCAACGACGTCCGTAACGTTATCGCTGTCGTCTCCGCGGCGACCGGGTCACCCCCCCCGTGACCCCGGCAGAGGGAGAGAGAGTTTGCCCGCATTCGCCGAGCTCACAAGGTACGCGGCAGGAGCAGCAACGGTGACAACAACAACAACAACAACTCAATAACAACAGCAGCAGCAGCTGCAACTGTGTTGCGGAAATTTGCTGTGACTGAATGCGGTGCCACTGCCCCGCACGTTTCAAATGGCAGAGAAACGGGAAACGTGGCTCAGCCATCCTGCAACAACTAAATAACAACAACAGCAACAACCCAAGAATAACAGCGGCATAACAACTGTGTGTGGACATTCGCTGTAACTAACACCTAAAGTTTACAAACGTCTGGGAGGCTCGACCGGGACACATGGTGATGTGGCAGCCCCTCCCGCCCTCCAGCCCCGCCTACTTTTACATAGCCACGCCCACTCAACCACTTGCATCACCCGCAGAGTTGAGCGACCTCCCTGGCGGTGTCCTGACGTTGGTCCCGCCCACTGCTAAGGTAGCCCCGCCCACTGCTAAGGTAGCCCCACCCACTGCTCAGGTAGCTCCGCCCACTGCTTAGGTTTCTCCACCCATTGTTCAGGCCACCCCGCCCTTTGCCCCGATCACGAGGCCATGACGCCTGCCCGTCCACTCGCTCCTTCCTGACATTGCCTCGCCCTCACGAAGCGGCCGTGCATGGCGTGGTCACCCTCCTGCCCCTTCCACCTGCATGCTGGCATGCCGCCCTGATCCCGTGAACCCGTGACCCCGGTGACCCCGTGCCCTCGTCCCTGCGTTCCTCGCGAGCGCAGAAGGAGATGGCGACAATGACCGAAGACGAGCTGCGCCGTGACGCCTCCGCGTGGCAGCACCTGGCCTCCTTCGTGGCACCTTCCAGGGTCAAAAGGTCACAGGTAGCGAGCGCCCGCCCTCTGTCTCTCTCCCGCCCTCTCGCCCGTCGCCACCGCGACAGCTCCAGGGCGCTCCTCTCGTTTCACTTCCGCCCTCCTTCTCCACTCCCGCGGCGAGGCTGTAACTGCGAGCGCTGTCCCCCTGCTCCTCCCTGTTCCTCCTGCTCCTCCCTCGCTCCCCCTGTCCTCCTCTCTCCGGCCTTCCTCCCACGACCTCAGGGCTCGGACATGACCGATGAGCAGCTTCGGATCGACTCCGACGTGTGGAGCCTCTTCCCGTCATTCTTCCGGCCGCACCATCCCGCGGCCGAGAGCCCCCTCCCCGGGGCTCCCGGCCTCGCCAACGCCCTTCCCGAGGCCCTCCCCGACGATGCCAACCCCAACACGATCCCCAACGAGCCACCCGGCGCTCCCCCGCACCGGCACGCCCAGGGGGGCGGCCGTCGCGGCGGGAACGGCGGCGGCGGCGGCAATGGCGCCGCATTCGAGGATAATAATTTCCGCGATCTTTTCCCGGTTTTCTCGGACGCCGGCTCCGGTTGGCCGGAGGATTTCCCGGCTCGGCGTGGACGGGAGTCGGGGGGCAGGGCGCCCCCCCCTCCCCCACGCAGGATCCCCCTTATTCTGCCGCCCCCCTTCCCGACGCCACCGCCCCCGTGGCGCTCGTCGTGGTCGTCGTCGTCCGGTTCCCCCGTGTCAACCAACAGTCGTCGCACGCAGCTGCAGAGCAAGACGCACGTGGGGCAGGTGAGCCCTCGTGGGAGATAGGGGCAGGTGAGCGCCCACGTGGGCTAGGGGCAGGTGAACACCCACGTGGGCTAGGGGCATGTGAACACCCACGTGGGCTAGGGGCAGGTGAACACCCACGTGAGTTAGGGGCAGGTGAGCACTCGCGTGGGCTAGGGTCAGGTGAACACCCACGTGGGCTAGGGTCAGGTGAGCGCCCACGTGGTCTAGGGACAGGTGAACACCCACGTGGGCTAGGGGCATGTGAACACCCACGTGGGCTAGGGGCAGGTGAACACCCACGTGGGCTAGGGTCAGGTGAGCGCCCACGTGGTCTAGGGACAGGTGAACACCCACGTGGGCTAGGGGCATGTGAACACCCACGTGGGCTAGGGTCAGGTGAACACCCACGTGGGCTAGGGTCAGGTGAGCGCCCACGTGGTCTAGGGACAGGTGAACACCCACGTGGGCTAGGGGCAGGTGAATACCCACGTGGGCTAGGGTCAGGTGAACACCCACGTGGGCTAGGGGCAGGTGAGCGCCCACGTGGTCTAGGGACAGGTGAACACCCACGTGGGCTAGGGGCATGTGAACATCCACGTGGGCTAGGGGCAGGTGAACACCCACGTGGGTTAGGGGCAGGTGAGCACTCGCGTGGGCTAGGGTCAGGTGAACACCCACGTGGGCTAGGGTCAGGTGAACACCCACGTGGGCTAGGGGCAGGTGAGTGCCCACGTGGGATAGGGGCAGGTGAACACCCACGTGGGCTAGGGTCAGGTGAACACCCACGTGGGCTAGGGGCAGGTGAGTGCCCGCATGGGCTAGGGGCAGGTGAGTGCCCGCGTGGGCTAGGGGCAGGTGAGTGCCCACGTGGGCTAGGGGCAGGTGAACACCCCGTGGGCTAGGGGCAGGTGAGTGCCCACGTGGGCTAGGGGCAGGTGAACACCCACGTGGGCTAGGGTCAGGTGAACACCTACGTGGGCTATGGTCAGGTGAATACCCACGTGGGCTAGGGTCAGATGAACACCCACGTGGGCTAGGGGCAGGTGAACACCCACGTGGGCTAGGGGCAGGTGAGTGCCCACGTGGGCTAGGGTCAGGTGAACACCCACGTGGGCTAGGGGCAGGTGAGTGCCCACGTGGGTTAGGGTCAGGTGAACACCCACGTGGGCTAGGGGCAGGTGAGTGCCCACGTGGGCTAGGGGCAGGTGAACACCCACGTGGGCTAGGGGCACAGCACAGCCATCGTGGGGCTGCGAGCTCCCAACCGCTAACAGAGGCATCTGCACCCCACCGCCCCTCCCCCCCAGTTTCCCTCCCTCCTGGAGGCGGTCCCCCACTTCGACCCCCTGACCTCTCGGGGCAACAAGTCGTCCAATGAGATCGCGAGGGTCCACGAGCCCTTGACTCCACGGGGGGCTCGGCCGCACGAGGTGGCAAAGGTAGAGGTGGTGGGGAAGACAAAGGTGGCCGGGCGTGGTGCTGGCATTGGGGGGGGGCGAGCGGGTGGCGTGCGTGCGTGCGTGTGCATCTGGAGTGTTTGTGTGCTGTGGTGCGTGTGTGTGCGTGTGTGGCGAGCGGTCGTGGTGTAGCGGTTAGCGCTACGCTGCGCTCCGAACCCAGCGATTAGAGTTTGATTCCCGCTGCTCACAGCCAACACCGGTGACGATTATCTGAACCGGTCCTGGGCCTCCCCTAGGTCGACTCGGCCTCAAATGATCACCTGGTGCGTTGTGTAAACATCGCCCCTGGGGAGACAAAGGCAGCCGCGCGTGGTGCTGGCCACCCACCCCCTCGTGCGCCGTGTAGACCTTCATAGGTGCTCGCTAACAGCACTTGCCCCAACAGGCTATACGGGGGATCTTTTAATTTGGTAATTGTGGGGTGTGTGTCTTTTTGTATGCGTGTAAGCAATTGCGGTGTGTGTGTGCGCGCGTGTGTATGGTGTGCATGTGATGACGTGCATGGTGTGTGTCACGCGTGTGTAGTGCGTCTTACAGCATGCGCTTGCGGTGCGTGCGCGCGTGTTCATGCAGACCCACGTGCACCCGTGGGTCTGCATGAACACTAACGTCTCATTGCTCATTTGAGCGGAGTACGCAGTTTACGGCTGTTCAAGTAAGTATCATTAGTTTTATTTTTTTCCCACCGCTTTTACTCTTTCTCTAGGGGGCCCAGCCCCCCCCCAACCGCCTAATGAGTGGCCATCACTGCATGCCTGACCCTGGTCTGACCTCGGCCTCCTGAGACTTTGGCGCGTGCGCGCATTCGCCTCCGCGATTTCCAGTTTTTCTCTTTTCTCACTTAATCTTTTCCCCGTTTCCTCTTTGTCTGCGTGCCTCCGGACGTTTCCCACACGACGACCTCGCGTCCACGGCGCGGGCAAAACCGCACCACCATCGTGTGTGCGGACCCGACCACACCCACACTGTCGCTCACCCAACGTCCATTCATGCCAACCACAACCACCGCCGAAACTCCTCCGATGATTCCTCGTACCGATGCGACAACCCGACAACAACAACAACAAATCCTCCACCGTGTCACCATCGACGCAACAACGCGCCATCACACCACCACCGCATCACGTGCGATACGACGCCATCGCACCGCACGCCACCGCCACCACCACCACCACAACCACCACAACCACCACCGCCACATCACATTGCCTCGCCACATGGTGGTGCCCGCACGCACACAGTATGAGTTGGTCTACAGGGACTGGTCGCTGCTGCCTCGAGATGAAGTCTTCTACTGGCGCCTGCCCGACTATATCTGCCCCCAGCAGGTGCGGGGGGATATTCGCTGGCACCCTCTTCTCCATACAACGGGCAGGGTGCGGAGGGTTTGTGGATAATGGGGGGGGGGAGGTGGGCGGGGGGTAATGGGGTAATTGGGAGGTCGGGTCGAGACATCCGGGAGATGATGGTGATCCTGGGAGGTGCCGGGGGGATGTGGTGAGATAATTAACGATGTGTCCATGCGTGTGTCTATCTGTGCGCGTATGTGTGTGTGTGCACGTGTCCGCATGTCTGTGCACCCGTGCGCGTACCTGTCTGTGCGTGCGTTTGTCTGTTTGTGTCTGCACGTGTGCGCCCGTCTGTGCGTGTCTGTGCGTGCGTGTGTCTGCGCGCGTACGTGTCTGTGCGTGTGTGCGCGCGCGTGTGTGTCTGTGTGCGCATGCGTATGTGCGCGCGTGTGCGTAGGTGACGGCGTACGGAGGGAAGCTCCGTTACACGCTCTCCTACTCCGCCGGACCCCAGGGCTCCCCCATTCCTGATGCTGACCTACACATTATCGTAAGCCTATTGCATCACCATCGTCATCATCATCATCATCATCCTCATCATCCGAAGCCCATCTCATCATCAATATAATCTATCACATCATCATCATCATCCTCGTCATCATCACATCATCATTAAGTTTCACGTTTTTACGACCAATAATAGCGGCCGATGGGCGTGCGCTGTGCGACGAGTGGTGATTGGCAGGCGTTGTGGCGCCCGGTGGTTGATGCGGTTGCGCTGCGTTTCGCGGTGCCGCGTGCCGCGGTCCCCCTGCCGTGCGGCGTACGAGCTGAGGGCGTTGCCGCGGCTAACGGCGGTGCGGTGCGTGGGCGCAGGGCAACGACATCACACTGTCGGCGTACCACCAGGAGCAGCTGCAGCCCGGGGAGACGCGCACCTTCGAGATCCCCCTGCGGGAGGTGAGCCGCCCTCGAACGCAGCAAACAAAGACAAAGCTCCCACACCCCCCCCCCCCCGTTGTAGCCTACACAGGCTGTCGGGGCAAGTGCTGTTAATGAGCGCCGATGATGGCTGCCATGGCGGTGTTGAGTTGCCATGGCAGCCATCATTGGCTTCCTGGCAACGCAGGGTGACTCCATCTCCCGTCGCCACGACGATGCGGTCCGGCACGATCCTTATCGAGAGCGGAGTCCGGTCTGGTGTCCATACAAAGACAAAGATCCCCCGTGTAGCCCTAACATACCGTTGCGGCAAGTTCTGTTCGCGAGCGTCCGTGCAGGCCGGCACAACGCGCGAGGGGGTGGGTGGCCAGCACCACGCCCGGCCGCCTTTGTCTCATTTAAGGCTGATTCTGCTTAGGGGAGGCCTGGGGACTGGTTTTGATATTCGTCGCTGATGTTGGCCTTGAGCGGGAACTGAGCTTGGGTTTGTAGCACGGTGCGGCGCGTGCACCACCGCCCCGCACTGTCTGTTAAGGCGCTCGGCACACCACACCACACACACACGCGCTCAGCACACAGGCGCTCAGCGCGCACGCACGCACGTGCACTAACTGGCCTTTAACAACGCAGGCCTTCACGGGAGACTATCTTTGGCTCCGCACGCCCGCGCAACCTGCCCCCTCCCCTTGACCCCGCCCCCAACGCAGTCGTACTGGCAGCGGCTGGACGGGCAGCCCGCGACGCGCGAGCACCTGCTGATGGCGCTAGCGGACGTGGACGCGATTCTCGTGCGCGCCTCCTTCTCCACGGACACGACGAGCGCCAGCATCGGCGACGTGTCGCTCGACACGGCGGTGCCGGGCGACACGGGCGGGGCGCGCGCGCTCCAGGTGGAGGAGTGCAGCTGCCCCGCCGCCTACACCGGCCTCTCCTGCCAGGTGGGGGCCGTCGCCGACTCCGGCCGCACCGCCGGCTGGCCGGCCACCGAGCGTGCGGCCGGGCTGGGCTGGAACGCGCGTCCGGGCGCTTCTGCGCAAGGGGGTTCGGGAGATGCGGGAACACGCGGCCGTGGGCGGGGCCGCGACACGCAGACGCACGCGTGACGGGACGGTCGCGCGTGTGTGCGTACGCGGGCGTGTGCTAGACGTGGGCGTGTGTTAGACGTGGGCGTGTGCTAGACGTGGGCGTGTGTTAGACGTGGGCGTGTGTTAGACGTGGGCGTGTGCTAGACGTGGGCGTGTGCTAGACGTGGGCGTGTGTTAGACGTGGGCGTGTGTTAGACGTGGGCGTGTGTTAGACGTGTGCTAGACGTGGGCGTGTGTTAGACGTGTGCTAGACGTGGGCGTGTGTTAGACGTGTGTTAGACGTGGGCGTGTGTTAGACGTGTGCTAGACGTGGGCGTGTGTTAGACGTGTGTTAGACGTGGGCGTGTGTTAGACGTGTGTTAGACGTGGGCGTGTGTTAGACGTGTGTTAGACGTGGGCGTGTGTTAGACGTGTGTTAGACGTGTGCTAGACGTGGGCGTGTGTTAGACGTGGGCGTGTGCTAGACGTGTGTTAGACGTGGGCGTGTGTTAGACGTTGGCGTGTGTTAGACGTTGGCGTGTGTTAGACGTGTGTTAGACGCGGGCGTGTGTTAGACGCGGGCGTGTGTTAGACGTGGGCGTGTGTTAGACGTGTGTTAGACGTGTGTTAGACGTGGGCTAGACGTGGGCGTGTGTTAGACGTGTGTTAGACGTGGGCGTGTGTTAGACGCGGGCGTTTGTTAGACGTGGGCGTGTGTTAGACGTGTGTTAGACGTGTGTTAGACGTGGGCGTGTGTTAGACGTGTGTTAGACGTGTGTTAGACGTGGGCGTGTGTTAGACGTGTGTTAGACGTGTGTTAGGCGTGGGCGTGTGTTAGGCGTGGGCGTGCACACACGTGCAACGGATGGGCTCGTGCGCACGGCGGTGACGTTGATGGCTTTGTTGCGACGTGATGACGATGTTCGTGGCGATCGTCAAGATGATGATGACTATGATCATGATGGCGATGACTCGGTATGGGCTCTGTTCAGGGCTACACATCGGCTATGTACGTACAGCACGTTGAACTTCTTTCGCACCGTACGTAGCCAACCGTGCTAAACCGGAGGTGCGGAGATGCTGACAGTGATGTGAATGGTGACGGCGGTGGCGTGGGTTGCATTGCAGGACTGCGCTCCGGGCTACACGCGCACGGGCGGAGGCCTCTACCTAGGCCTCTGTGAGATGTGTGACTGCAACGGCCACACGGACAGCTGTGACCCGGAGACGGCGTCATGCTCTGTGAGACAGCGGGACACACACTGCATCCACTACACACAGCATCCACTACACGCAGCATCCACTACACACAGCATCCACTCCACACAGCATCCACTACACACAGCATCCACTACACGCAGCATCCACTACACGCAGCATCCGTGTGTGTCGATCCACGTGTGTGTACGTGTGTGTGTCTGTAGAGCTGCCAGCACCACACGACGGGCAGCTCGTGTGAGCGTTGCGAGCCCGGTTACTACGGCGACGCCACCCAGGGTACCCCTGAGGACTGCCAACCCTGCGCCTGCCCGCTCAGTAGCCACGGCAACCAGTGGGTTCCACACACACATCCACCCACACACAGTGGGGCCCGCACACACATCCACCCACACACAGCGGGTCCCACACACACATCCACCCACACACAGTGGGGCCCACACACACATCCACACACACACAGTGGGTCTCACACACACATCCACCCACACACAGTGGGTCTCACACACACATCCACCCACACACAGTGGGGCCCGCACATACATCCACTCACACACAGTGGGGCCCGCACACACGTCCACCCACACACAGTGGGTCTCACACACACATCCACCCACACACAGTGGGTCCCACACACACATCCACCCACACACAGTGGGTCCCACACACACATCCACCCACACACAGTGGGTCCCACACACACATCCACCCACACACATCCACCCACACACGGTGGGTCCCACACACACATCCACCCACACACAGTGGGTCCCACACACACATCCACCCACACACATCCACCCACACACGGTGGGTCCTGCACACACATCCACCCACACACAGTGGGTCCCACACACACATCCACCCACACACAATGGGGCCTGCACACACATCCACCCACACACAGTGGGTCCCGCACACACATCCACCCACACACGGTGGGTCCCACACACACATCCACCCACACACGGTGGGTCCCACACACACATCCACCCACACACGGTGGGTTCCGCACACACATCCACCCACACACGGTGGGTCCCACACACACATCCACCCACACACATCCACCCACACACAGTGGGTCCCACACACACATCCACCCACACACAGTGGGTCTCACACACACATCCACCCACACACAGTGGGGCCCGCACACACATCCACCCACACATAGTGGGTCCCACACACACATCCACCCACACACAGTGGGTCCCACACACACATCCACCCACACACAGTGGGTCCCACACACACATCCACCCACACACAGTGGGTCTCACACACACATCCACCCACACACATCCACCCACACAAAGTGGGTCCCGCACACACATCCACCCACACACATCCACCCACAAACGGCGGGTCCCACACACACATCCACCCACACACATCCACCCACACAAAGTGGGTCCCGCACACACATCCACCCACACACAGGTGCACACAGCAACGATGGAGACATGGGCAGCAGGGTTGGAGTAGTGGTGAAATCCAGAGATCCCCTCTATAAGAATTAAGAGGCTGTTGGGGCAAGTGCTGTTGGCGAGGATGTACGAAGGCCGGCACGGCACATGAGGGGGGGGGGGGGGGGTGGGTGGCTAGCACCACGCCTGACTGCCTCTGTTTCTCCACGGTGGCAATGTTCACACATCCTATCAGGTACTTTTTTAATGTGAGTCGACCTAGGGGAGGCCCAGGACCAGTTCAGATATTCGCCACTGTTTTTGTCCGTGAGCGGGAATCGAACTCGGCACGCCGGGCACGTAGCGCAGCGAAGCTGACTGCTACACTACCGCTGCATGGACACACACGCAACAACAACAACAACAACCGCCATTCGCCACTAAGTGGCGGTGACGTCACCACGGCGCTTGTGCCAGGCTGTGTGCACCTTGAGGCCATGTGAAGTGTCGAACGCTCGCTGGCAGGAGGTCACGGGGCAGACCCAGCAGGTGCCACGCACGCGCGCACGCACACACTTGCACACACCCCATGCGTCCACACGACCCACACCCTCTGTGCTCACCGCTAACCTCTGACCCCCACCGCCCTCCCCCAGGTTCTCCCCGAGCTGTGAGGGAACCCCTGACGGGGGCTACCGCTGCACCGCGTGCCAGCCTGGGTACACGGGGCGCTACTGCGATCAGTACGTGGGGGGGGTTGGGCCATAACGACTCAAAGCCACGCCACCAACACTGCGACACGGCACTAGCGGCACTCCCGCGCTACCGCACTACCGCACTACCGATATCGCACCACCATGCCACCAACACTGCGACACAGCACTACCGGCGCTGCACTACCACACTACCGCACTACCGATATCGCACCACCACGCCACCAACACTGCGACACGGCACTGCCGGCGCTGCGCTACCGCACTTCCAATATCGCACCACGACGCCACCAACACTGCGACACGGCACTACCGGCACTCCCGCGCTACCGCACTACCGCGATGGGACTCACACCGGCGTCCCACCACTTTGCCCGTACGATTGAGGGGTGTTTGCGCCGTGTCTGTGTGTGGTGATGCAGGTGCGCGCCCGGTTACCTGGGCAACCCCCGAACCCCGGGACAGCGGTGCGTCCTGGCAGGTGAGACCCCCCCCCCACCTACGTACGAATACATACACATACAACAGTACCCGCCCCCTCCCCCGTGTAGCCTGCACAGGCTGTTGGGGCAAGCGCTGCAAGTATATATGTGCGTGTGAATGTGTCCATGTGAATGTGCCTGTCTGTGTGTGTGTCTCTGCGTGTGTGCGTGCGTACGGTGTAGCGGTTAGCGCGTTGCTCTACGAACCCGGCGACCCGAGTTCGATTCTCGCTCACGTCCAGCAGCAGTGACGATTATCTGAACCGGTCCTGGGCGTCCCCTAGGTCGACTCAGCCTCAATTGAGTACCTGGTGCGATGTGTAAAAAAAAATGCCACTAGGGAGACAAAGCCGGCCACGTGTGCCGTGCCGGCCTTCATAGGTGTTCGCTAACAGCACTTGCCCCAACAGTCCGTTAAGGCTACCCGGGAGATCTTTGTCTTTGTCTGTGCTTGCATGGGTGAGAATTGGGGGATCGGTGGTGCAGTGGTCAGCACAATGCACTATGAGCCAAGTGACCCAAGTTCGATTCCCACTCACGGAAAATGACAGTGGAGAATATCTGAAGAGGTGCTGGGGCCTCCAATGCATCGACTCAGCCTTAAATGAGTACCCGATGCGATGTGCTGTCAACACCAGCACTGGGGAGACAAAGGCGGCCGGGCGTGGTGCTGGCCACCCACCCCCTTGTGCGTTGTGCCGGCCTGCATGGACGCCCGCAACCAGAGCTTGCCGCAATGGTATGTTAAGGCTACACGGGGGACCTTTGTCTTTGTATGGACACCAGACCGGACTCCGCTCTTGATAAGGATCGTGCCGGATCGCATCGTCGTGGCGACGGGAGATGGAGTCACCCTGCGTTGCCAGGCAACCGGGGCCTCTCCTGTTCGGTACGACTGGGCCCGCGCCGATGGGCAGGCCATCTCTGAAAGGGGGCAGATGAGACTGCAAGGTATGGAACTCGCGCACAAACACAACAACAACAACCGCCATTGGCCACTAAGTGGTGGTGACGTCACCACGGTGCTTGTGCCAGGCTATGTGTACTTTAAGGCCACATGAAGTCTTGAATGCCTGCTGGCAGGAGGTCACGGGAAAGTGCGAGGTGCCATGGGTCGACTGACTGAGACGACTGGCAGATGCACCACCCGTGCCCTGACTGAGACGACTTGCAGATGCACCACCCATGCCCTGACTGAGACGACTGGCAGATGCACCACCCGTGCCCTGACTGAGACGACTGGCAGATGCACCACCCGTGACCTGACTGAGACGACTGGCAGATGCACCACCCGTGCCCTGACTGAGATGACTGGCAGATGCACCACCCGTGCCCCCTACTGTGTTTTAGCCGCCCGGCGCTCCGCTCGTTGTTGTGAGCGTCGCTCATCTGCCCTCCATTGTTGCTGGAGGGCGAATGCCTCCAACTGCCCAGTAGCAGCATCCTTCATGAGCCTCGTCCATAGAGGCCGATCTTTAAACCGTTGGTACACTCAGCTCCATATCCATTCAGACCACATTCCATTTCTCCACGAGCCCCTTCCGCGCCCTTTAGCCCCCTATATTTGGCCGAACAAAAACTGCTTGAGGAGACTACATACATGACCCAGCCAATGCAGCATTGCCTGCCAGAGGAACTCACCAATGAGACCGTGTACAGATCTTTCAAGGATTTATGAGCTCCTCACACAATCCAGCCTGGTTAAACCCAGGATGGATTATAGCGCAGGCCAGCCTGAATGTTTCTAACTGGTGAAGATGTTCCATTAGAGGGGTCCACATTTCGCAAGCATATGGAATGGAGGGTATGATCTTGGCCGAGAAGATTCGAAGCTTCGTGTGGGGTGATATGCCAGGTTGCTTCCACATAGTAGCGTTACGCAGCTGATGAAAAGATAATGCCGCCCGACTGATTTGGCGTGAGACCTCTGCTGTCAAACCGGAGCTGGTCATAAGCACATTGCTCAACTACAGAAACCTCTCTACTCTCTCCACAACTGCCCCACACGCACATGCACAACAACAACCACCATTCGCCACTAAGTGGCGGTGACATCACCACGACATGCCAGGCCATGTGCACCTTGAGGCCACGTGAAGTGTCGAACGCCCGCTGACAGGAGGTCACGGGGCAGACCCAGGTGCTACGGGTCGACTGAGACGACTGGCTGATGCACCACCTGTGCCCCCTACTGTGCCAACCTGCTGTGCTTTAGCCACCCGGCGCTCCACTCGTTGTTGTGAGCGTCGCTCTTCCGCCCTCCGTTGTTGTTGGAGGGCGGCTGCCTCCAACTGCCCAGTAGCGTTCTTCATGAGCCTCCTCCACAGAGGCCAATCTTGACACTGCTGGTACCAGTCATCGGCAAGTCCACTCAGCTCCACGTCCTCCTGTACCACATCACTCCATCTCTTCTCTAGCACGTGCCGCGCCCGTTTAGCCCCCTCGATCTGGCCGAACAAAAGCTGTTTCGGCATGTGGTGGCTGGGCATGCGGGCTACATGACCCAGCCAACGCAGCCTTGCCTGCCGGGGGAGCTCACCAATGGGACCTTGCCCAGATCTTTCAAGGATTTGTGAGCTCCTCACACAATCCAGCCTGGTTAAACCCAGGATGGATCGTAGGCAGGCTAGCCTAAATGTTTTTAACCGGCAAAGATGTTCCATTAAGGGGGTCCACGTTTCGCAAGCATAGAGAAGGGAGGGAATGACCGTGGCCAAGAAGACCTGAAGCTTAGTGCGGAGCGACAGACCAGGTAGCTTCCACACAGCGTTACGCAACCGATGAAAAGATATTGTCGCTCGACTGATTCGGAATGAGACTTCTGCTGTTAAACTGGACCCGGTCATAAGCACACTGCCCAGGTATGGGAAACTCTCCACTCTCTCCACAACTGCCCCATCACCGATTGGAAGTTGTGGGGGTGGAGTGTCCGATGGTACAAAATACCCAGGCAGGTGCTAGTTTTGGTGGGGCTGATGGTAAGGCCCCATCTCTTAGTGGCACGCTCCAGTCTCAGCAGCAGCGTCTCCAACTCCTCCTCTGAATGAGCAGCTATTACCAAATCATCGGCATACATACCGTGGTTGAGCAATAGGGAGCCATCCCTTGACCGCACCCGGGCATCGATCAGCCTCCCATTATATCTGTACCAAATGGAGATTCCCCCGGTACAGCTATTGAAGGCTTCACGAACTACGTGGTCAAAATAGATGTTAAATAATGTTGGAGCCAGAGTACATCCCTGTCGCACCCCAAGGTGTACAGGGAATGGCTCTGACTCCCGGCCACGTAGTTTTACCCGGGCCTGCTCACCATCATGAAGGTCCTTAATGATTGTGAGCACTGGGTCAGGGACTCCAAAAGCACGAAGAACAACCCAGAGCCCATGCCTACTGATGGTATCATAGGCCTTGACCAGGTCAATATAGCAGAGATGTAGGTCTTGCTGGAATTCCCTACACCTCTGCTGTAGCAGACGGACAGAAAATATGGCATCTGTGCAGGACCGCCCTTTTCTGAAACCGCATTGGGGCTCCACAAGCCTCTCCTCAGCGTGCCTGGCAAGGCGATGTTGAATAATCCTTGCCAGGACCTTCCCCGGCACACTGAGGAGTGAGATGCCCCTGTAGTTGTTACAGTCTGTGCGGTCCCCCTTCTTAAAGAGGGGGACCACTAGGGCATCCTTCCAATTCTGCGGAACCCGTCCAGTAGTCCAGACTGTTGTTATGATATCATATAGGGCAGTCTGTGCACAAACGCCACCCTCCCTCAGCATTTTGCTTGGGAGATCATCTCTGCCCGCTGCCTTTCCTCGTCTCAGACTCCGGATCGCCTTCAGTACTTCCTCAACAGATGGCACCTCAGTCAGCCACTCACAGGGGGTGACTTCTTCCAATATTTGAGGCACCGCAGCCTCAGCAGGGTCATCCCCACTTTGTGCCACGATGTTTTCCTGGCTGAGGGGTTTCCCCTCCCCGAGGACCTCACAGAAATGCTCAGCAAATCTGCAAACCTGTTCCTGGGGGTCGGAGATTGGAACACACACACATACATACACACACGCGCACACACACATATAGTGGCCGAGTGCAGCCCAAAACGTTAAACGACCCCACCCCTCACCTCCCACCCCTCACCCCCTACCCCTTGCCCTTCGACCCCAGGCCAGGAGCTGTCGTTCCAGGACGTGCAGGCGTCGGATGGCGGGGTCTACGTGTGCACGTGCCAGAGCCACACGGGCAGTAACTCCAGCCAGGCCACCATCACCGTCACCGGTGCGTGCGTGTCCGTGTGTGTGTGTCCGTGTGTGTGTGTGTCCGTGTGTGTGTGTGTCCGTGTGTGTCCGTGTGTGTGTATCCGTGTGTGTGTGTGCATGTGTGTGTCCGTGTGTGTGTATCCGTGTGTGTGTGCGTGCGTGTGCGTGGGTGCGTGTGTGTGCGTGTGTGTCCGTGTGTGTGTGTGTCCGTGTGTGTGTATCCGTGTGTGTGTGTCCGTGTGTGTGTGTGTGTCCGTGTGTGTGTATCCGTGTGTGTGTGTGTCCGTGTATGTGTATCCGTGTGTGTGTGTGCGTGATGGGGAGCGGCAGTGTAGCTGTTAGCGGTACGCTGCGCTATGAACCCGGCTGACCCGAGTTCGATTGCCGCTCACGGCCAACACCGGTGACGGTTATCTGAACCGGTCCTGGACCTCCACGTAGTCGACTCAGTCTCAAAATTAGTACCTCGTTGCCATGTGGCAAGATCATAGGCGGCCGGGTGTGGTGCTGTACACCCGCCCTCTTATGTATCGTGCCGGCCTTCACAGGTGCTCGCTAACAGCATTTGCCCCAACAGTCTGTTACTGGCTATACGGGGGATCTTTGTCTTTGTTGGGATGTCGGTGATGATTAATTATCCGTACCGGTCCTGGACCTTCCCGAGGTCGACTCAGCCCTTTAATGAACACCTGGACATGACTAGAGAGACAAAAGCGGCCGGGCGCGGTGCTGCCCCCCCCCCCCCGAATTGTGCACCGCGCCAGACTTCATAGGTGCTACTCGCTAGACAACACTTGCCCCAACAGTCTGTTGCTTGCTATACAGGGAATCTTTATCTTTGTGTGTGCACCGCACAGCACGCACGCGCCGGCCGATCACGGTGCGAGTGGAGGAGCCGATCGTGCGCGTCGTGCGGCCGGGAGGAACGGTCACCTTCATCTGCACGGCCGTGAGCACGGTGAGACCCGGCCACCCCGCTCACCCACTCACCCTCTCACTCTCTCACCCACTCACTCTCTCACCCACTCACCCACTCACTCACTCACTCTTTCACCCTCTCACTCTCTCACCCACTCACCCTCTCACCCACTCACTCTCTCACACACTCACTCTCTCAGTCTCTCACTCTCTCACCCACTCACTCTCTCACCCACTCACTCTCTCACCCACTCACCCTCTCACTCCCTCACCCACTCACTCTCTCACTCTCTCACCCTCTCACCCTCTCACTCTCTCACCCACTCACCCACTCACCCTCTCACTCTCTCACCCTCTCACCCACTCACTCTCTCACCCTCTCACACTCTCACCCTCTCACTCTCTCACACACTCACTCTCTCACTCTCTCACCCACTCACCCACTCACCCACTCACTCTTTCACCCTCTCACTCTCTCACCCACTCACCCACTCACCCTCTCACTCTCTCACCCTCTCACTCTCTCACCCACTCACTCTCTCACCCACTCACTCTCTCACTCTCTCACCCACTCACTCTCTCACCCACTCACTCTCTCACCCACTCACTCTCTCACTCTCTCACCCACTCACTCTCTCACCCACTCACTCTCTCACCCACTCACTCTCTCACCCACTCACTCTCTCACCCACTCACTCTCTCACCCACTCACTCTCTCACTCTCTCACCCACTCACTCTCTCACCCACTCGCTCTCTTACCCACTCGCTCTCTCACCCACTCACCCTCTCATCCACTCACCTTCTCACCCACTCACCCTCTCACCCACTCACTCTCTCACCCTCTCACTCTCTCACCCACTAACTCTCTCACCCACTCACCCTCTCACCCACTCACCCACTCACCCTCTCAACCTCCCTCCCTCTCGAACTCTCAACTTCTCGCCCGTCCGCCCGCTCGCTCCCACCCTTACGCACGCTCACGCGGTCCCTCTGTGCCCGTCCCCCCTGCGGCCCAGCTGCCCGCGTACACGCTGGTGTGGACGCGCGACAGCGACGGGATGCTGCCCGCGCACGCCCAGGACTTCAACGGCATCCTCACCATCGTGGGCGCCCGCAGCACCGACGCCGGATCCTACACCTGCACCGGCTCCAACATGCTGGACATGGACACGGGACGCGCGCTGCTGCACGTGGAAGGTGAGGCACGCTCACCCGCCACGCTCACCGCCACGCTCACCCGCCACGTTCACCCGCCACGCTCACCCACCACGCTCACCCACCACGCTCACCCACCACGCTCACCCACCACGCTCACCCGCCACATTCACCCGCCACGCTCACCCGCCACGTTCACCCGCCCATCACGTCACTCATCACGTCACCCATCACGTCACTCATGACGTCACTCATGACGTCACACACACGTCACCCATCACGTCACTCATCACGTCACTCATCACGTCACCCATCACGTCACCCATCACGTCACCCATTACGTCACTCATGACGTCACCCATCACGTCACCCATCATGTCACCCATCACGTCACTCATCACGTCACCCATTACGTCACTCACGACGTCACCCATCACGTCACCGATCACGTCACCCATCACGTCATTCATCACGTCACTCACGACGTCACCCATCATGTCACCCATCACGTCACCCATCGCATCACCCATCACGTCACCCATCACATCAGTCATCACGTCACCCATCACGTCACCCATCACGTCACCCATCACGTCACCCATGACGTCACCCATCGCGTCACTCATCACGTCACCCATCACGTCACTCATCACGTCACCCACCACGTCACCCACCACGTCACCCATGACGTCACCCACCACGTCACCCATCACGTCACCCATGACGTCACTCATCACGTCACCCATCGCATCACCCATCGCATAACCCATCACGTCACCCATCACATCAGTAATCACGTCACCCATCACGTCACCCATCGCGTCACCCATCGCGTCACCCATCACGTCACCCATCACGTCACTCATCACGTCACCCACCACGTCACCCATCACGTCACCCATCACGTCACCCATCACGTCACCCATCACGTCATTCATCACGTCACTCAATCACATCACCCATCACGTCACCCATCACGTCACCCATCGCGTCACCCACCACGTCACCCATCGCGTCACCCATCGCGTCACCCATGACGTCACCCACCACGTCACCCATCACGTCACCCATGACGTCACTCATCACGTCACCCATCGCATCACCCATCGCATAACCCATCACGTCACCCATCACATCAGTAATCACGTCACCCATCACGTCACCCATCACGTCACCCATCGCGTCACCCATCACGTCACCCATCACATCACTCATCACGTCACCCACCACGTCACGTCACCCATCACGTCACCCATCACGTCATTCATCACGTCACTCAATCACATCACCCATCACGTCACCCATCACGTCACCCATCGCGTCACCCACCACGTCACCCATCGCGTCACCCATCGCGTCACTCATCACGTCACCCATCACGTCACCCATCGCGTCACCCATCGCGTCACCCATCGCATCACCCATCACGTCACCCATCACGTCACTCACGACGTCACCAATCACGTCACCCATCACGTCACCCATCGCGTCACCCATCGCGTCACTCATCACGTTACCCATCACGTCGTAACGATCACCTCAATGCCAACGTTCAGCGTGCCGGGCTAAACAGTAGCGGTGCCAGTGGAGGTGGTGACGACGTGTGGCTGACTGTACTAACACCACGGCTAAGTGCTGTGTTTAACCCGCAATGCGCTTCATTGACACGGGCAGTTGCTGCTTGGCTAACGCGCGGCGTGTGTGTGCGCACGTTTGTGCATGCGTGTGTGCGCGCTTGCGTGCGTTTGTGCGTGCGTCTGTGTGCGAGGTGCGCTCCTGTGCGTGCGTGCGAACGTGCGTGGAGAGCTTCTTTTCTTGCGCGTGCGTCTGCGTGCCTGTTTGCGTCTGTGCTTTGGTGTCCGCGTCTTCTGTGTGTGTGTGTGTGCCCGTGCGTGCGTGCATGCCAGTCGCTACCGGCGGGCCCCACCTCAGAGACCAGGGCGGCCGCGATGCCTCTGAACTAACGCACGACCAAACCGCCGTCCGTCTCAGGCTGAAAACGTGCAGAGAGAACGTGTGACCACGTACCCCGCGTCGCCGTGACCCCGTGACCCAATGCCCCCCGTGACCCCGTGACCCCCTTGTCTCCATGCGCCCGTGACCCTTTGCCCCCGTGACCCCATGCCCTCGTGAATGTGACCGTGGTGCTATGCCAATCATTTGTGATACCAAATGGTGCTAAGGGGCAACTCCGTGCGCTGCCGCCCCCCCCCCTCGTGTTCGTGACGTCACATGAGCCCCCCCTCGTGTTCGTGACGTCACATAAGCCCCCCCCAAACCCTGCGACCCTCGCTGCGCACTCGTGCACACAGACACACGTAGACACACAAACACACTCGTACGCACACAGACACACACTCGCTCACTCACCCGCACACCACACACAAACCCTCGCTCGCTCACACACACACACTCGCTCGCTCCCACAGATACACACAAACACACTCGTACACGCATACACAGCACAGCAAGAACAGCCGCCGCTCGCCACCAAGTGACGGTGACGTCACTACGGCGCCTGTGCCAGGCTAGGTGCACTGTGAGGCGACGTGAAGCGTCGAAGGCTCCTCCGCCGCAGGCAGGAGGTCACGGGACAGACCCTGCAGGTGCCGTGGGTTGACTGACCGAGATGACCGGCAGATGGCACCGCCCGCCGCCAGCTGTGCTTCCCCACTGTGGGATAACCAACAAAGCGTGCTCACCCACACACACACACAGCAACTTGCACGCGCACACGCGCACACCCGCTGGTGGTACGCACGCGCCCACTCGTGAATTCCCACGCTCGCGCGCTGACAGAGCGCTCGCGGGCCACCGCCTCTCCCGGATTGGACCGTGGCAGAGTCTGGGGAATCGTCGTCTGTCCGGCTGTCGCCTGCAGGGAGGTAGTGATTTGTACCGAGGTCTGGCACCAGGCATTGCTGCGGGGTTGTGACAGATTGAGGCTGACTCGCTCGCTCGCTCGCTCGCTCGCCCACCGCTCGATCATCTTATTCATGCAGTCGTCCTCCAACTCAATCGATCCACCCGACCACAGGAAGAAGAAGCTGGGTTCGATTCCCGACCCACGCGCGTCTTTCTGCGCGGTGTTTGTACGTTCTGTCCCTCTCTGTCCTGCGAGGGTTTCCTCCATGGGCTCTCCAGTTTCCTCTCACAGCCAAACAAAAAATCAAACAAAGACAATGTGACTGGTATTGTCGGTCAAATATGCCGAAGTTACACCGCAAATGACTCTTACTGGGATTACACGCTGCAGCAGCTGCAGCAGCAGCAGAAGCAACAGCAGCAACAGCAGCAACGTCGCCTCCGACTCTGAAAACTTGGCAGGACCCTACTGGAATATCGTCTTGGGTACTCAGCGAGGCTGGGCGATGATGACAATGATGACAATCACCATCCGCACCCACCCCCCCCCCCCCCCCCCACTCCGGGACCCGGTGCCTTGGAGGAGGCAAGGGTTGGTGGATCGCAAAGAGACGAATACAACTCCCAAGCTTGCCAAGGCGGCGGTGAGTTGGTGGGCACGAGAAGGAGCTACGCGAGCGATGTTGACCCCCTCGTACGAGTTGGGGTTTCTCCCGGCAGCACCGCTCTCTCCTTCTGCACGGAGCCCCACAAGAACTCCGCTTTCCGTATTCAGAGGAATTGGCCGTAGGTCGCACGATGCAGGGGGGGGGGGGGACCCCCTCCTGAAACAATGCCACTTTGGACTCGGTGAGAATTTCCTGGGTTTGTTTAAAATAAAAAAAAAGATCGTCATCAACGTCACCACCACCATCGCCACCTGCAACCCTTGCGCAGATCGTCACCATCGTCACCATCGTCACCATCGTCACCATCGTGTCCGTCAGCAAAGTCGTCACTGGAGCGTGCGTGCCGCAGTGTACGCATGTGGGTAGCGTGTGGGTAGCGTGTGGGTAGCGTGTGGGTAGCGTGTGGGTAGCGTGTGGGTAAGCGTGTGGGTAGCGTGTGGGTAAGCGTGTGGGTAGCGTGTGGGTAGCGTGTGGGTTAGCGTGTGGGTAGCGTGTGGGTAGCGTGTGGGTAGCGTGTGGGTAAGCGTGTGGGTAGCGTGTGGGTAGCGTGTGGGTAAGCGTGTGGGTAAGCGTGTGGGTAGCGTGCGTGTGGGTAGCGTGTGGGTAAGCGTGTGGGTAGCGTGTGGGTAGCGTGTGGGTAAGCGTGTGGGTAGCGTGTGGGTAAGCGTGTGGGTAAGCGTGTGGGTAAGCGTGTGGGTAGCGTGTGGGTAAGCGTGTGGGTAAGCGTGTGGGTAAGCGTGTGGGTAGCGTGTGGGTAAGCGTGTGGGTAGCGTGTGGGTAAGCGTGTGGGTAAGCGTGTGGGTAGCGTGTGGGTAAGCGGGTGGGTAAGCGTGTGGGTAGCGTGTGGGTAAAGCGTGTGGGTAAGCGTGTGGGTAAGCGTGGTAAGGTGTGGGTAGCGTGTGGGTAAGCGTGTGGGTAAGCGTGTGGGTAGCATGCGTGTGGGTAGCGTGTGGGTAAGCGTGTGGGTAGCGTGCGTGTGGGTAGCGTGTGGGTAGCGTGTGAGTAAGCGTGTGGGTAGCGTGTGGGTAGCGTGTGGGTAGCGTGTGGGTAAGCGTGTGGGTAGCGTGCGTGTGGGTAGCGTGTGAGTAAGCGTGTGGGTAGCGTGTGGGTAAGCGTGTGGGTAGCGTGTGGGTAGCGTGTGGGTAAGCGTGTGGGTAAGCGTGTGGGTAAGCGTGTGGGTAGCGTGTGGGTAAGCGTGTGGGTAGCGTGTGGGTAAGCGTGTGGGTAAGCGTGCGGGTAGCGTGTGGGTAAGCGTGTGGGTAGCGTGTGGGTAGCGTGTGGGTAAGTGTGTGGGTAGCGTGTGGGTAAGCGTGTGGGTAGCGTGCGTGTGGGTAAGCGTGTGGGTAAGCGTGTGGGTAAGCGTGTGGGTAGCGTGTGGGTAGCGTGTGGGTAAGCGTGTGGGTAAGCGTGTGGGTAAGCATGTGGGTAGCGTGTGGGTAGCGTGTGGGTAGCGTGTGGGTAAGCGTGTGGGTAAGCGTGTGGGTAAGCGTGTGGGTAAGCGTGTGGGTA